CTTAAATGCAAGCCCCTAAATTGAGCCTAGTGGTACCTCTCATCCTAGCACGTTTTCCATTAGCAAAAACATATATGTCGATCCCTTCTGCTTGACCCTCTAGCCCAACTCTTTCCTCCCTCCTGTTCATTTCTAAACAGCTCAGAAAGCATCTACTTCCACCCTCAAGCTCCTTCTCTCCATCCCGTCCTTGCCACTGTCGCAGCCTCCACACTGTGCCAGCCACACTGAACCGCTCACAGTTCCCAGAGCTCCCGTTGCCCTCTTGCCCAGGGGCCTGGCCTCATACTCTTCTCTCTCTCCCTCTCTTTAATTTCTAATTGTGGTAAGATACACAGGACATAAAATTTGCCATTTTTAAGTGTCCAATTCTGTGGCATTAAGTCCATTGATTCCTGTCGTGCCGCCATTACCAGCATCCATCTCCAGAACTCTGTTCATCTTGAAGAACTGAACCTCTGTACTCATTCAACACCAACTCTCCATTTCCCCTGTCCCCAGCCCCTGGCAACCACCATTCTACTTTCTGTCTCTATGAATTGTGACTACTCTAAGTACCTCATGTAAGTGGAAATGATCATATAGTATTTGTCTTTTTGTGACTTAGCTTAATGTTCTCAAAGTTCATCTGTGTTGCGGTAGCTCTTTCTTCCCCTGAGGTCTCCTCTCCAACAGCTATGTCCCATTCATCCTTTAGGCCTCAGTATGAATTCCTTTCCTCTAGGAAGCTCCCCAGTGACCTCCCAAGCTAGTGCCCCCACAATGCTTTGCACCACTCCTGCCAGGGGAGAGCGGAGCACTGAAGGGTCGGAGCCTGGAGAGCCCTGTTCCTCCCACCGGCGTGTAAGCCCCTTCAGGGCACAGACTCCTCTCCATTCCTAGTTGTATCCCCAGTGTTGCATCTCAGCACCATGCATGGCACAGAGTTGTGCTCAGCAAATAGTGTAGAGTGAATGTTGAACAAACTTTCCTGGAAGTATCCATGGACAACTGCCAGCAAAAACCTTGAGACCAAATCTGAACGTCCTTGATCTGTCAGGAGCACAACATATACTTACCCACCTCTGCTGGAGCTTGGCTTGTCTCTACAGCACTATTCTCCATCTGTTCACTGGATTCTATGGCCTGTGCTCCATCTCTGCTCCATTAGCACCTCCTCCCTCTCTGTGAGAGCCCAAAGGTAGTCTATACCCTCTTTGCTCCATGCGAATTCCCATCCATTTGTCTCCCGGTATGGTTTTTCTGGAAATGACTTCCCAGTCTGCCTCTCCTGGCCTCACTTCACCCTGCACACGCTGGGAAGCTCCTACTCCTGGCCACCTTTCTACCCCTTTCGATTAAGCGAACCCTGGCCATTGTGTGTCTCAGCCAGTTAACGCTAGCACCATCATCGAGGCCTGTGTTTTGGGAAGGGTACTTGATTCCACAATAATCTACCCATTACCAATAGCTTCTCCTCAGTGTTTGGACCATATTAAAGCTACACCCTTCCTTTCTGTGCTCATATAAATACCTTTTCTGTGAAACGCTCCAGTGAAAGCCCTTGGTCTTTTCTCTGTGGGGTACTGGACAGAGCAACGGGATCATGTTCCTGCCTCACCACGGAAGACTGGTTTGACTTTGGGCAAATCACATGTCTTCCCTAAGCCTCAGTTTCCTCATCTGTAAGTGGAGACAACAAGTAGTACATCTCCAGAGAGGTCGTAAGAACAAAACAAAGCAATTTGGTAATTTCCTACCCCAGTGTCAGAGATGGCCCTGGGTGGAAGATCCTCAACATTTTTTTATTTTTTTGAGATTGGCACCTGAGCTATCTTTTTTTTTCTTTTCCTTCTTTTTCTCCTCAGAGCACCCCCAGTACATAGTTGTATATTCTAGTTGTAGGTCCTTCTAGTTGTGTTATGTGGGACGCCGCCTCAGCATGGCTTGATGAGTAGTGCCATGTCTACTCCCAGGATCCGAACCGGCGAAACTCTGGGCCGCCGAAGCGGAGCATGCGAACTTAACCACTTGGCCATGGAGCCGGCCCCAATCCTCGACACTTTTTGACATTGAATAAGGTGTGTGCTTTGAGAAGGTTGGGCCCCACTAAGATAACGTAGGTGAGGTATCTTGTAAAACTAACATGGGTAGACTAACAACAGGGTCATTGCCTTCTTCTTTCCCGTGTTCTCTCTCCCCATCCTCAGTGACACAGCCAAGCTGTTCAGGGAAAGCATTGATTTGATTTCTAGGGAATCCTTGTTGCTCGAAGGATCACATGCAGTAGACACTCTCTTAACTGAACTGATAGATTAACTGACTCTCCGTAAACAGCTGCCAAATGCCCGCAGCCCTCGGCTCGTTCACGTCTGGTGGATGGCACTTCTACCCCCAATAGTTGAGGGCTGAGCTGTGTGCTTCATAAGAATCAGCTGTATTTGTTCCCAAACCTGGGTATGCCAGTTGTACATTTTATTGTGAAGACAAATTTATTTAAGCAAAATGAAAATTGATAAAACTAGTGTAAAAAACTTTGTGAAAACTGAAATGAATAGTTTGAAATGACTAGATGAGGGTGAGGGTGATACTGAATTGAAGATGGATGAGACAATGGTTAAAGCTTGGGGAAAATTATAAAAATCTAGGAGGCTACTGTGCTCATATTGCTTTGCAAATATCTTTAAGTTCTTGTTCTATTTTAAAAAATTGGAAACTGAAAATCATATATAATGCGTTTACTGTATGAAAGACTGTGCTGAACTCGTCTCTTACTTGAAGAAAAAGCCCTGGCCCTACATCAAAAGATTAGGGGATGAATGTACTTCTTACTGTTGCAAATTGAAATAAAACGTTTACAGGATGCACATATCATTTTTTAATGGTTCCCTGACTTAAAAATTTTTCAAAAATTAATCCAACAACCACTGGTGTCGATCCTACTGCATGAGAGGGTTTCTGCTGTTTCATCTCCAGGTGGCAACACTCCAAGCAGCCCCTCTCTGCTTGCTTTCTTTCACTGATCACATCTCTCACTTTCCGTCCCACCCACTTGGCCATTCAACAAAGATTGGTAGAGAATCTGAACCAGCTCTGAGTTTGGAGCTGACTCTCCGTGCTGCCTCTGCTTGGAGTGGACTGAAGCAAGAGCATACAGCATCTTACCATGGCAACCCTCTGTGTGCATGAGCTGTCTATTTATGTTGTTTGAAAACCTTTTCCCACCTCACACCCCACAGCAATTTCAGTGATACGGACTGAATTGTATCGCCCAAAATTCATATTTGGAAGCCCTAACCCCCAATGTGACAACTTTTGGAGATGGGGCCTTGGGGAGGTAATTACAGTTGATGAGGTCATGAGGGTGGGGCCCTTATGACAGGATTAGTGGCTTTTAAGAAGAGGAAAAGAGGGAGATTACTCTCTCTCTCTCTACCCTATGAGGACACCATGAGAAAGTGGCTGCCTGCAAGTCAAGAAGAAGGCCCTCATATGGAACTGGATTGGCCAGAACTTCCAGCCTCCAGAACTGTGAGGAATAAATGTCTGGTGCTTAAGCCACCCAGGCTGTGGTACTGTGTTACAGCAGCCCGAGGTGACTAATTCTCCGAGGAGCCCGGCAACTAATCCCAAAGCAGGGCCTGTGAAGGGGTTTAAAGAACGGTGCTGCTTCTGCTGCTGCCGCTAATGATGATGATGGTGCTGATGATGCCAAACCCCACGCCAAACCAAACCTCCTCTGTGGACAGAGAAGCCCCCTTCCTTTCCAGTCTCCACTGTCACATTCACCATCTCATTAGATTCCAGATCCACCTGGGAGATCTCAAGGTGTACAAACAGGAAGTTTAAATGACTTGTCTGAGGTCACACTGTTTACAAAGACAGGCCTAGGACTATAACTCAAGTCCACATCATTTTCTAACAAGCCAACTATGTGCCATGACCAAATTTCAGATTCATGGCTCTGGGCCATTTTCTGGCAAGATATGGATGATGGGTAGAGTTTCTATGTATGATAGCCTCCAATTCTGACAGCATCTGAAGCATTTTACTGTGTGACCTGCTGGAACAGAGATTGCTAGTTGTCTACCAAAAACCCTTTCTCGCCTTCCTCCTTAGTCAGAGAGCTCTCAGTTTCTCTTGTGGCTAGATGTGGCCATGTGACTAAGTTCTGGCCAAAAAGATGTAAGTAGGAGTGTGCAGGACCTCCTGGAAAAGTCCATAAAGGAAGCTGATCTGGCTGGAAGACTCACCCGTTTAGCCCTGAAATCCCGCTCTCCGCACTGCTGTTTATTTCGCACTGCCTAGAGTGTGGGTGGAAGGCGAGTGGCCCCAGCAGCCATCTGAACCATAAGGTGATGGCGAGGACAGAAGCCAGAGCTAAGATAGTGGGGAAGAAGTTCTTAGAAGGGGCCTGGGTTCTTGATGACTATGAGCCACTGCACCAAGGAGCTGGGTGGTATCATACCCGTGTCGCCCCGTGGCCTAGATCTAAATCCCATGATGAGAGGAGCAGCAGGTGACACTGAAGGGACTGTTTGTTTAGGTCTCTTAGTGATTGGGACCCAAGAAGGCTAGTGGGGGGTCTGGGGAGCAAAACACCTTACAGAAGTAGAGAGAGAGGAGTTCACTCATTTGTCTACTTCTCTGCAGAACCCAGGCACGTCCCGTTGCAGAGAGACCTGGAGGGCACGCAGGGCCTCTGCGGTACCCCAGGCTTTCACAGGCTTGGGAAGCCCCCACCCAACGCCCTCAGGAGGTCAGAGTGGCTGCACAGGGCTCCTGCGGGAGGAAGGGTGAGGTGGTCCTGCCTCAAGTGGCCTTGCAGGCAGCAACATCAGCCATAGAACTTGAAGTGAAGAACCTGAGAGGGTGACCCGTGACCACACGAGATGACCTGACAAAACTGGGGCTCCTCAGAGTGTCCTGAGTCATGCAGATAGGACATTTAACTGGTGATATTTGAGCTGTGACCTCGTTATACTCACAGGCTGGGGGCCTTAGGGACAAGTGACTCATGCCTATGACAGGGCAGCCTGGGATGCCTCAGCCAGGAAAGGCTGCCTTATTTCAGGACGGCCCTTGCTTTGACCCGAGCGTTTCTTTCTGGCTGACCTGCGATTGCAAAACGCGTACCATCGATTTATGTCTTCTTTCGTTTCACCTTCAAGGATGGAGTCTTCTGGAGAGCGAGGGTTAGACATCTTTTCATGCTGGAATAAAAAGGAGCAGATATGGGAATGGAAACCCATGATCACACTGGTGCGAGGGAACGAGGATAACTTGTCAGTTACATGGATTTCCCATGCTAGGATGAGATCCAGGCTGTCTGAATCTGTTAGATAACAAGAGCATTTTCCCCTGAGCTTTCAGCCGATTTTCCAACTACACACCCACATGTGACATTCTCCAGGTGAGTGATTTTCTGCATCCGGTCAACTTATTTTAGTCGTGGTTGTATTTGATATGCTGGCATTCTGGAAGAATTGCTACTGACATCCAGAATGCAGTCAATATGACCAGTTTTGCAAAACAGACGTTCAGAGAAACATAGCATTTTTAGGGTTGGTATGAAACTTTAAGATCAGCTGATCCCACCCCTCGTTTTATAAATCCGTGGAAGCGATGGCTGGAGGGCACACGATTCATGCAGGTGAACTTGAGAGCAGAACTCAGCTAACCCTAACTCATAAGCAGTGCTGCGAGCCCTTCATTCTGTCATTTCACAGTCTGGATTCCCACCGACTGGCCCAGGTACACTATAGAAGGGCTTAGGTTCTTTTTTCACCCCTGCATTTTTCTTGAAAAGAATTTACAGACTCTTTCCTGAGGTACTTGCAGTCAAACTGGACAGAATAATAAACACAGAAGCACCTAACGGTTTCCTTACACAAGATCAAGGTCACTCACCAGGTCTGTGCCTCACTCTCTCTCAACCTTGGAGAGCAAACACCATACAAGTTACATGTTTTGATCTTGTCCAACTGAGAATCCTCCTCCTCTCCCCCGGCCCTTTCCCCTTCTCCTCCTTTCTCCCCTCTTCCTCCCACCTCGCTCGCTCAGCTCCTTCCTCCCTGCACCTGAACTGGCAGTCTGATTTCTCTGGGTCTGGTGAGGAGCGGAGCATCCAACACCCAGCTCGTGTGCGTGTCTGCAGTTGTCCCCATCTGCTCTTTTTCCTTCCTGTCTTCCTCCCTCTCCCTGGCTTTTATTTTCCACATTCTGGGTCTATCAAATTAATGAACTCACTTATTTTCTCTGTATCAAACGCACACTGAAATTGTTGCATTTCTAAATAGGCCGAGAGTGCCGCGTAGCATACGCGGAGTCTCCTGAGCCGCCACAGCATCTCCTCCTAACCTTGAGAAGGCTTGTGACACAAGACGGCGGAAGGCGAGCCGCCTCCGACAAGACAGAAGGCTTTCTTGATCTACGCCTTCCCGCTCCCTTTATTTCCTGTTTCGAACATGTTTGGGGCTCTAAAGCAGATGAAGTCTGTGTCGATTCTACTGTGTGATCAGTATTCCAGGAGGCTGCCAAGGAAAAACCGAAGACACATTATTTTGCTGGGAGAGCAGGTGTCCTGCTTTGAGTTGTAACATAACCAGTGAGCAATAGCTCATGAAATGACCTGCTTTTCAATTTATTAAAGGGTGAGCATTTCTTGGAAATCCATATATTTCCCCGAGCCCTAAATCAAGGCTGCATCTTCCAGGGCCCTCTCAAAATCTCCTGCTCCAATTTTGGCTTTCATAGATCATAAGCTGATCATTTCTTCCCTTCACTCGTTAGGAAGCCCAGCTTTTAAATATATTTCATAATGGTGAAAGTGTGCCGTGGGCTGAATTTTCGGTGTCTGTCTCTCTCAGATGTGACAGTTGGGTTGAGCACGGTGCTGAGTCTCCTTGCGTCCCAAGGCCATGGATGACAGCCTTTTGTTGGTCAAAAGGAGAAAAAAGCCAAGTGATGCTGGGAGATCAGCTCCAACTCTCCCCGAGATGGACCACACCCTCCTGGCCCTGGTCTGTAACATGATCTTGGGACACACTTTTATTCTGGCCATGCCTGGACTCCCTCAGACAGCGGTTTGTATTCCCTGCTTGATCTGTGTGGAAGCTACAAAGAAAACACAGATGAATAGGATGTGCCAGAACCAACCTTAGCCCTGGCCTTTCCCTTCACCGCATTCTCCTGCTCCTCCTTTCCCAGGTGCGTTGCAGGAACATCCCCTTCCAGCACTGGGTGAGCAGGCATGCTCTGGGCATCTGTCAAAATTTCATAGGGGACTCTAGGGTGGCTCCAGGAGGCAGGAGTGAAAACATCCCAGGGGCTACTCTGCCCAAAGGTCCCTGGAAGAGTAGAGATAAATTAACAAATAATAAGCATAGGATGGAAGGTAGCTTGTGTTCTGATCAGAGTGAAGCTTTGCTGGGTCTCCTTAATCCTGGTTAACTTAATCAAATTCACTTCTGCTTCTGTATTTCCATAAGAAACAATTACAGGGCCACTTGCCCAGGAGACTCAAGCCTAGAATGCCTCCCACAAAATATATCACACGGGGGAATAAGCTACTCAATAAGATACTAAGAGCTTGCAGGATAAATTCAAAATAGTTCTAGCACCTGCCTCAAAAAATATCAGCCAGGGAGGCAAGTTAACCTGCTGAAACAGGTGCAGAGGCTCTCTGAGCCGGAAGTCGGGTTACTGTCAGGACGGCCCACTCAGGCGGGGCCTTTCTCCACACTCAGCTCCCCATCCTGAATTGTTCCTGCCCAGACATGACCTTATGATAACACTTTTCCTTACCAAACTCGCTGCCGTATCTAGCTGAGTTCTCTAAGTTTAAACGTCTTTGATTTTGTTAATTTTTGTGAACGTAAGTTGACTTTATGGTATGGACTGAATTGTGTCCCCCTCAAATTCATATGCTGAACCCCTAACTCCCCATGTGACTGTATTTGGAGATAGGGCCTAGAAGGAAGTAGTTAAAGGTTAAATGAGGTCAAAAGGGTAGGGCCTGATCCGATAGGATTTGAGTCCTTATAAGAAGAGACACCAGAGAGCTCTCTCTTTCTCGGTCATGTGAGGACACAGCGAGAAGGTGGCAGTCTGAAATCCAGGAACAGGGCACTCACCAGAACCAGACCATGCTGGCGCCCTGATCTCAGACTTCCATCTCCAGAACTGCTCCCATGAGAGAAATAAAGTTCTGCTGCCTAAGCTCCCAGTCTGTGGTCTTTTGTTATGGCAGCCTGCGCTGATCAGTACACTTTACCTCAGAGAATTCATGACTCAGTGGAGGCTCCATCTGAGGCCCTGCACTGGGACTGAGGCGGTGGCCAGGTGGACATTCCATACCTGTGTACTCCCCGTCCATGCTCCACAGGCGCACAGTGAGGTCGAGGGAGGATGACAGCAGAAACTTTTCTTCTTCTATCAGCTCCAAACTAATGAGAGAAAAGGGGAGGAGAGATGCTCCAGGGCTGTTACAGCATGAAAGGGACACTAGCTCAACATGTCAATACTCCATTAACTAAAGTTGGGATATAGAAGCCAGGTTAATCTCCTGAATTATTCTGGGTACCATTCTCTCCCTGCCTCCTGCCACATCACACCCCCTCCCACAAATTCCCTAACTCCAGCCCCAAGATATCAAACAAGATATGATGGAAACCATCTTGTGGATGATGGGTCTGGGGAGAAGACCAAGAGATTGGAAAGAACCATCTGGCCGGAGCTCAGGTCCCACCTCTAGCACCGATTCCTTTCAACTCCAGTGAAACAAATCTTAAACTTACTAAGCTTCTAAACTTACACTAAAACACCAGATCAATTCAAGGAAAACAATCATCCATTTACAAGAAAAATGAAGACTTCCAATCTCTTCCTTTATTCCGTGTAGGGAATATGTACATCTTGTTTTCACCAACAGCAGAATGTAACACTGCTTTCCTCTTTTGACTAATTCAGAGGGCTTCTGGGAGGATCAACTTGATCACAGCTGCGAAATTATTTTAACTCTTTTACAGATTCTTGAACTCTAAAATGGATGGTACTCACGATGTCACCATGCTGACATGGGCCCTCCAGAAAGTCACATCTAATTCAAAGGGAAAACATATCTGAGTATGGAGGGAGAGTTCACCACCATGATGCTAGATGCCGTCCATATAATGGTTCCTGCAGGACGGGTCAGATCTGGATGCGGGTCCAACAGGGAGAGAGGTACTGGACTCATTGGTCTTGCTACATTAGTTTGATAAGTGTTCATTGAGTACCTACTGTGTGTGAGACCCTGTGCCAGGTCCAAAGACACAGAAAATGGGACCCATGCAAGGCACTTATGGTTTGGCAGCCTGCAGGAACATGCAAGTACTCAAAAGTGATTTTTAAAATAGGCTGGTACCTGGTACCTGGAGTGAAGACCAATGCAAGGCAGATCACTCTTACTTCCAAATTCCGATTTCTCTTACTTTAGCGTTTAAACTTCTCCTGTGGTAGAACAAGAAAAGGTGACTAAAGGGAAGTTTGTGAATATTTACCTCTACATTGGCTTTACAGAAATGTGTTTAATAGAATATTATATAGCCATTTAGATATGCTAAATAAAACTAAATATGCTTATTTGGAAAGTTGTCTAAGAGATGCAAAGAAAAAAAGTTGTCTAAGAGATAAAAGAAAAAAAAGTTCTGAAAATTATGTCTTGTGTATGTGCCCCTGTATATATATGTATAGAAACTTTCTGGAAGGAAGTTCGAATGCATTAGCAGTGTTAGGAGCACGCAGAAATGGCAGGTCAGGTGACAGAGGAGATCGGAGAACAGCTAGTACTTTTTATTTTTCATTCTTTTGTGCTGTTTGATTTTTTTCTAAACATGAACACTTTTACAATTGTATGAAAGAGTTTTAAAATTTTAAACATATATTTTGTTATTACCAAAGCAACATGTATCCAGAAATACTAGAAAAGACAGATTTGTAAAAAGAGGAAAACAGAACAGAAACAAAGAAAACAAAACCTCATCTACAAAGAGATAACATTTGTTAAGACCTTGGTGCATATCTATCCATATTTTTAATTTCCATATGCTTCTTTGCTTTAACAAAGATAGATTCATCCTGTAATATTGTTTTGCAATCTGATTTTTTTCATTTAATAATTTATCATGGATATTTTTCCTGTAAGCACATTTTCATATTACAGCATCATTTAACAACTAAAGATATTTCAATGCATTATACCATCATGTATTTAATCAATCCCCCTTATGTTGGACATCTAGGTTGCCTATATTTATTTTTCTCTCCTTCTTAAAAACAATGTGTTGATTCAGAACCTTATAACTAAATGTTTGTGCATATTTCTTATTCTTTCTTTTAATCAAATCCTTAGAAGTAGAATTGCTGATTTGAAGCTTTAGACACATATTGTCAACCTGCCCTGCAGAGAGTAAACACCAATTTACCCTCCATCAAAAAGTGTATGAGTGCTCATTTTCTAGCATCCTTGCCAACAATGAATACTTTCATGAAAATATTTTTCTCTAAATCCATTCTTAAAGAGTTTTAAGAGGCCCCTCTTCACTGGCACAATTTAATTTTACCAACTAGAGTGCTAACCTAAGACTGAAGCTGTGCTTGTCACACTATTTAACATGAGGAATTCATTGCCTACTCTTGGGAGGCCGCAACTCTGGTCCCCACAGGCTGTACTCCTTGATGTTATAGACCCGCACAAAGCTTTCCTGGTCAGCCACACAGGCGAGAGCATCTCCTGCTGTTACCACCATGCTGCTGACCCAAGCTTTGTCTCTAGACTGAAAGACACACCCACAGTGCCCATCACAGACACATTCACAGGGTCCATCACAGACACACCCACAGGGCCATCACAGACACACTCACAGGGCCCATCACAGACACACCCACAGGGCCCATCACAGACACACCCACAGGGCCCATCACAGACACACCCACAGGGCCCAACGCAGACACACTCACACAGGGCCCATCAAGACACACAGGGCCCATCACAGACACACAGGGCCCATCACAGATAAAGCTTACCTGTCAGACGACGGCAAGTGAAATGCTGTATCCCATATCCACGAACTAGGCACTCTGGCTGTATCACTCTTCCAGCGAGAAGGAAATGCCATGTAGTTGAATAAAGCTAAGGATTTCGAGCCTGACAGAGCTTCTGCATTACACAGTCAGGCTGGTGTCAAAAATAACCAAACCCGAAGCAGGGAAGTTTCTGCTGAACGACTGCCCAACTTACAGGAGTGAAGTTTGCAATGGGACAGGCCCCCCCAGACAGCCTCCAGAAGGTGACAGAGCCTGCAAGGAGGGATGCGGTAGCAGGGCACCTTGGCGTTTGCGCTTTGCCCACAGCTGAGTTGCTGAGCCCCGCAGGGCTGAGGCTCTGAGCCCCTGCTGACAGCAAGAAGCCTCACAACACGAGGGCACTTTTCCTCTTTCCCTTGGCTTATTTTGATCAGTTAGAATTATTGCTGTATATTGGGGAAAGGGGTTTCTTGGTGGGTTTGGATTAAATGGCTCGACAGCCTTTCCCTTCTCCACTAATCAGGGCAGCCTTCCTGACAGAGGAGGGCTCTGGCCTTGGCTGTGGAGGATAGGTACGGAAGTTTGTGCTATGGCAATCACTGATGTCTGTGTGTGTAAGCACTTACTTTAAATCCTCTATGGGACTTGCCTAATGGAGGGATGCTCTGGGGGTTCCTCTAGGCCTATGGGTCACGATTCTTGACTGTTTTGTATGTGGGTGTCCATGTAGCAAGCCTTGTGAAGTGGGGACCCCATGCATGTCGCTTCCCCTAGGGAGCTCCCTAAACCGCTAGATTGCAAAGCTTCCTCTCCTCTCTGGGGAGACCAGGCTCTATGCTCACACCAGTAAAGCGGAAGCCGTAGCCGCCCCAGGTGGAGGTGGAGAGGGGCCTCCTAGGGCACCTGGCGCCCCGAAGGCCTGAAGCTTTGGGGCGGCCCGTGAACGAGCAGCGGGGGGAGTCAGCGTCCCTTGCTAGAGAGGGGAACATGACCAGATACCCCGGGGCCAACACACACAACATGAGCCTCCCCTTGCAACCAGAATAACACAGGGGGCTGCTTTTAACTGGACATTTTAATTAAAATCCCAGTGCTTTGGAGCAGGACTTGTGCCCACTCACTACATTTTCCTGAAGCCTGAGGGCCCTATCATTTGTGTGATGTCACCTGACTGGCTAGCAGCAGATCTGGACTCAGAAGGCTTTCCTCCACCTCTTGGGGGGAGGGGTGGGAGGGGCGGGGCTGAGTTCCTCATCTCTAAAATGAGGGGTTCCAGGGCTATCTCCGTTGTATGATTCTTTGTCCTTCCTCTTCCGGCTCCTCTGTCAGGCTGCCCGTGCCTGCTGTGGCAGTGTCCTCCTTACAGGCTGTGCCTGGTACTTATGTAACCTAAGTGACATCCTCTGGGCCCCACACTCCTCCAGGACCATTAGTGGCCCATTTCCCCTGCAGAGGCCCTCGGAGTGGGCAGCCGGGGGTGGGAGGGGTGGGATTTGGAGGGAGTGGGAGCCGGGTCCTCACTCCTCAGGTGACCCCGGTCCTGGCTGGCAGGCGCACTGGGGGTCATCAGCCTGGGCTCCAAGGAGAGGGCAGGCCCGAGGGAAACGGCAGAGAGGCACTGGGGAGAGCGAGTGCTGAGGGTCCCTCCTGCCACACCCAGGCCGGAGGTCGAGTCTCAGGCCAGGGCCACCTGGCCCGCCTGCGGGCTCCCCTCTCACCTCGAGGCCCGCTGGCGACGACGAGGGAGGCAGACGTGGAGTCCAGGTTGGCAGCCCACGCGTCCTCAGGAAGGAGAGGCAGGAAACGCTTCGCTCCGGGCCTGGGGACAGGGAGAGCAGGTTTTGGTCGTGTCCCCCGCGTGCAGCTGGCAGCTCTGGCTTGCACCCTCTCCTGCAGCCGCCCTCTGTCCCGGAGCTGGCCAGGCAGGGCCTGAGGCTGGGGCGGTGGCCACGCGTGCAGGCTGCCTCGCTGGCGGGTGGAGTGAGGCAGATGGGACAGCTAAGGGCCCCTGGTGGCCCAGGGCACCCCGCCCAGCACTGCCCCAGGACCCCAGGACTTTCGGAGGGAGATGGGGATTGGGAAGTTGGCATGGGCTGGAGGGAGGGGCTGGGGGAGCTGAGAAACCAAGCAGGGGGCGCGTTCCAGGGGCTCGGAGGCCTGGGCCTCCAGGGCACTTCCCAAGAGGTTCCCACTCCCTAGGGATTCCTGGATGGGATTAATACTAAACAAACTCATGTCACCTTTTACATTTACCAACATGTAAAACTGTGAAATCACTTGGTACTGGATTTAGTCCCATGGTCAGATGAGGAAACAGAGACTTAGAAAAGTTAAAAGCTTGCTCAAGGCCATAAAGATGTTGGTTCTTTCATTCACTAGTTTGTTATCGACATCTGTTCGTCTCTGGCAGGGACTAGACATCATGCTGGGTGCTGTGGGAAGGAGGGAAGCAGAGAGCCCAGCCAAACCCAAAATAACTATGCCAGGAATGAACCAGCTGCTGGGGGCTTGTGCTGGAGGGGCATTTATGAGCGTGGAGAAGGGAGGGCCCGATAAGGCTGCTGGGGGAAGCAGGTTTTATCTGGAATCTTGAAGGATGGAATGGCCCTGGGCAGAGAGGCTCTCTTGGGAGAGGGCGGACGTCAAGCCCTGATCTTCACAGCACAGAGAAGTCGAAACAACCTCTAAACCCACCTCCTCCTTCCACAGGCTTCTATTTCTCTGCTAGACTCTAGGCACCAACACAGGGGCCACAGCTGTCTTTTTTTACCACTTATCTCTAACCCTCTCACAGTGCTTAGTACAGAGAACTCAAATATTTGCTGTTGAATAAAAGTCCTACAAACCTACTTAGATGCAAATCTCTAAGAGCCACAGAGAACACTGCTGCGTGGCTGCTGGGAGTGTGGGTGAGGACTCTATCTTACCATCCCTGATTCTGTGGGCTCTGAGGGTACATCATCCAGCCTGGAGGTGAGATGAATGGTCTCATGTAAATAAGGGCTGTATAAATAACGGGGTTGGTGCTGGAGTTAAATACAAGAGGTGCTGCCCCCACGTCTCACTACCATGGGTGGGGACACCCATGGCTCAGACCATCACTGGTTCAACAATATTTATTTTGGCCTGACTCTGAGCTCAGCACCGTGCTGTGCTTGGGAGACCACAGTGGACGTGGCAGACTCAGGCCCTGCCTTCAAGTGGACAATGGTCACAGCTGGATTATCCACTTAACGGGCACTTTCTGTGTGCCAGGCACTGGCCTAAGCACTTCTCAACGTGACCATGATTAAGGATCACAACAACCCTGCGTAGATGGTGTGCTCCAGGTTTCACAGGCATTTTACAGGTGAGACTGTGGTTTAGAAAGAACCATATTGCCTAAGGTGCACGACTAACACATGGAGAGGCTGAGATTCAAACCCGGTTGTGTTTGTATCCGAAGCCTGCGCCCTCCATATTGGGCTTTGGCATTGTCCTTGGAGGGCTACAGATTCTCAGAGGCAGGAAGGATGGTCACGCACACGGCTGTGTGGCTCCTGCTCGGCTCCTCCTCGGTGTCCTCCCTGATGCTTGGGGTGCGCCTCTAGTGATTTGGCCTCAGCACTGCCTTGCTCTCAGGTTATAAGGCTCTCGGGGTATTGATATAGGGGTAGGGCGGTGGGGGGAGTGAAAAAAAAGGAGGCTTGGCAAAGATAAATTCCCTTCACCTTGCCACATCCATCCTGGGGGAGGGGTTTTGAAGTCCAGGGTATGAGCTTGCGTGCTGCTTCCCCACTTACCTGTGAGTGGTTTCCGGGAGCATTTCACTGCCCTAAACCTCAGTTGTCTCTATCTGTGATATGGAGACAATACTCCCTATTTCACAGAGTTTATCGAGGATTAAATGAGACGCTATGTGAATCGTGCTACATGACCTTGCTGTGTAGGCTGAATGGAGCCACTGAACCTGCAGTATCTGTCAGAGATGCTCAACAAACAGTAGCTGTGATATTCTTGTTACTTAACTCTTTAGCCTCAGTTTCCTCATCTATGAAAATGGGTATAATAGTACCTATCTCTCATGGTCACTGTCAGCCTGACATAAAATATTAAAAGCACTCAGGAAAATTACATATAAGATTAAACATATTATTTATATAAGTATTGTATTGATTATACTAATTATAATTATTATTAAACCTAAATACTGTTTAAGTTGTTACATTTATTAAATATTATATTGTTATAATAAATAAATATGATTATTTATAAATAAGTAAATATTATTGTACTGTGTTCCTAGATAAAAAACCTTAGTTTCTAAGAACTAATAAATGAATTCAGCTAAGTAACAGGATACAAAGTCAACACAAAAATCAGTTGCATTTCTAGACACAAACAAGGAGCAATATGGAAAGGAAATTACCAAAAAAACTCCATCTAAAATAGCATTAAAAAGAATAAAATACTTAGGAATTAACTAAGGAGGTGAAAGACTTGTACAACGAAAACTACAAAACATTGCATAAGGAAATCGAAGACGTAAATAAACGAAAACACATCTCATATTCATGAACTGGCAGACAATATTGTTAAAATGTCACTACTTTCCAGAGCAATTTACAGAGTCAATGCAATCTCTATCAAAATCCCAATGACCGTTTTTGCAGAAATCGAAAAACGCATCCCATAATTCATATGGGATCTCAAGGGACACTGAATAGCCGAAACAATCTTGAAAAAGAAGAAGAAAACTGGAAGACGTAGTTCCTGATTTAAAAACTTACTACCAAGCTACGGTAATCAAAACAGTGTGGTACTGGCATAAAGACAGAACGAATTGACCAATGGAATGAAATAGAGAGCCAAGATATAAACTCTCACCTGTAAGGTCAAGTGATTTTTAACCAGGGTGTTAAGACCATTCAATGGGGGAAATGACAGTTTTTTCAACAAACAGTGCTGGACAAACTGGGTATCCTCATGCAAAAAATGAAATTGGACCCTCACCTGACACCATATACAAAAATTAACTCAAAATGGATCATGGACTTAAATGTAAGACCTAAAACAATAAAACTCAGAAGAAAGCATAGAACGAAAACTTCATGACATTGGATTTGACAATGATTTCATGGATATGACAACAAAGGCACAGGCAACAACAGAAAAAAAAGACAAATTTGACTTCATGAAAATTTTAATTTTGTGCATCAAAAGACATATCCACAGAGTAAAGGCAAACCACAGGATGGGAGGAAATACTTGCAAATCGTATATCTGATAAGGGATTAATATCCAGACTATATAAAGAACTCCTAAAACTCAACAACAACAAAAAACCTGATTCAAAAATGGGCAAATGACTTGAATAGACATTTCTCCAAAGAAGATATAAAAATGCATATGAAAAGATGCTCAGCATCACTAATCATTAGGGAAATGCAAATCAAAACTATGTCAAGATACCACCATACTGCTGTTAGGATGGCTACTATCAAAAAAGCAGGAAATAGCGTTGGCAAGGATGTGGACCAATTGGAACCGTATACACTATTGGTGGGAATGTAAAATGGTGCAGACACTTTGGAAAACAGTATGGCAGTTCTTCAAACAATTTAAAAAATTGGGCCACCCCAGTAGCCTAGTGGTTAACTTCAGCACACTCGGCTTCAGTGGCCTGGGTTCAGTTCCTAGGCTCAGAAAGACACTGTTCTGTTAGCAGCCATGCTATGCTGGCAGCCCACATACTAAAAAATAGAGGAAGACTGGTATGGATGTTAGCTCAGGGAGAATCTTCCTCAGCAAAAAAAAAGTTAAAACTTAAAAATAGAAATGTCACATGATCCAGCAATTCCACTTCTGGACATATACTCAAAAGAATTGAAAGTAGGGTCTCAAAGAGACATTTGTTCACCCATGTTCGTAGCAGCATTATTCACAACAGCTAAAACATGGAAGCAATCCGAGTGTCCACCAACCAATGAATGTATAAGCAAACTGGTCTATCCGTACAATGGAGTATTATTCAGCCTTAAAAACAAGATTTGACACATGCTCCAACATGCATGAATCCTGAGGACGTTATGCTAAGTGAAATACGCCAGTTACAAGAAGACAAATACCGTATGGTTCCACTACATGAGGTACTTAGAGTAGACAAATTCATAGAGACAGAGAACGTAATGGTGGTTGCCAGGGGCTTGGGGCGGGGAACATGGGGAGTTAATGTTTAATAGGTGTAGAGTTTCCGTTTTACAAGATGAAAAGAGTTATGGGGATGGATGGCAGTGACTGTTGCACCACAACGTGAATGTATTTAATACCACTGAACTGTACACTTAAAAATAATTAAGATGGTAAATTTTATGCTATGTGTATTTTACCGCAGTAAAGAAAAGAAAAATAACAGCGTTAGTCTCTCGGTGAGCTCACTGATTTTCCTGGATTTTAGCCTGGCTGAAATCTCTTGGTCTCTCTCTTTCACTCTTGAATTCTTTTCTCTTTGATGTGAAGGAAGAAGTAATAATCCCCAATATATGAAAGAATGAAGCTAAAATGTTGAAAAGTCAGCAGAAAGAATACATTTTCAGCTCACCCAGCCTGTCTTGCAAAATTCCCTTTGCCCCTTAGCTCCCCTCTCTGCTGAGGACGACTTCAGAAGAACAGTCCAGATGGTTTTCCAAATAAGATGGTCCCCTCTTAACAAATCTCATGTGAAGACCACTGTCTTCTGGCTTGACCTTCAAGAAGAGCCAGTCCTGCTCTTTCCTGGAAGGGTAGGGAACTTTCACATGTTTCCATCTCATTTTTGCTAATTTTGCAATGCAGAAACGTGAATTATTGTTTGCTGTAGCTGGCTTTGCATTTTTGGAGCAGAAGAGGAGTTTCTCAAAACCAGCAGTCACATAACTCTAAGCAATAAATGCTGCTGCAAACAGGGTTTTAAATTAGAAGTGCTGGCTGAAAGGTCAGCATTGCATTCTTGGCCAGTGACTTTATTTTCATTTTAATGGCAGTGAAAATAAACCTTTAGAAGGAAATGCCACCACTTTTCCCCAAAGATTTTTAAAACTCTCAGGCACTCTCAGAAAGAGCTTTGTAGAAGAATCTTTTTTGTATGTAGTAAAGGCGGGTAGAAATAGATAGGAATAGGATAATAAATCTACCGCTAAGAATTTCTTTTTAGTTTCGTGGTGTCCAGTGGTTTTGGGTTCTAACCGCTGCCCTCCAGAGTGTCTCTCAAGTCCCATGAGGCTGATTCTACTGCTTTCTCATTATTTTACCTGTTGGGCAGGCACGTCTTCTCTCTGAATTTAGACAGTGAGCCCCTTGAGGGCAGCATCAGGCCTTGGCTCTCTCTAGTCTGCTCTCCACATCTCCCACAGAGTTATGCCCACAGGAGCAGCTCGCGGATATTTTCTGATCGAATGAGTCATTAGAGCTCTTCTTCGGCTAGTGGCTCAACAAATGCCCCAAGCAGGAGACTGTAATCTGGGGCTCATGGCTCACTAAGGGTTTTCTGACTGGGCTTCAGGAGGTGCAAGAGCTCCCCAATTTTATGCAAAAATGCCCAATGTCCTGAGTCTCCCCTGTTGGGGCTCCAAGAGTGTGAGGCAGTGGGTCTGCTGGCTGTTGGCAGGTGAGTGTCTGCAGACTGCTGCTTGGGAAGGATGAGCCTGGATGCCGGAGGTGGGGACAGGAGTGGTGGGAAGCCCGTTTGGTTGTGGGTTCCAGCCAGTTTTCCAACCCAGCACAACCAGCAATGAGACTGGTAGATAAGTGGGTCTTCCGTTTGTCTCCCACACGTATTTATCAAACGGTTCAGGACTTGGAGGGAGACGGATGTGATTACCAGCCCCGACACCCAGCACTGGGCCTGGCCCATAGCAGGAACTCATCAACATTTTTTGAATGAATGAGTGAATTAATGCATCTATAATCACATTAGTAGAATGAGAAGACCTTGAGGAAATGGAAGCAGGGTAGAAAAATTAGGGAGAGTAGGGAAAAGTTTTGCAATACGATATGCAAGTAGCAAGGACAGACCCACTGTGTAGGGGCCATGGGAAACATGAGGATGCTTGGATCTCAGGGGCCACCAGAGGGTGCTGATGGTGAGGGTGGCATAAAGCATGAGGGCTTACAGATGAGTGACCCATCTGGAGATGATGTCAGGGCCGCGCTGAGGATGCAGAAGCCCGTGGAGAGTGGGATTGAAGGCAGAGGAGAAAACTGGTGCAGTAGTGATACCAGCTCAACACAAGGCTGACAAAAGGGAAGCCATATTGTAGAAAAGAAACCATATTGTAACTTTAAATGACCTCTGATTAACTAGCCTAGACATGCTCTGTAGATTTTGTGGTCCCTCCCACCTGCTTTAAGATGATAACTTTTGTTCTTTTGAGTTCCTTAGGAATGTGATGACCCCCGGGCAGAGAGCCTCTGCTGACAGCCATCATCAAGGACAAGCAAAAGATCAGGGTATAGGGTGTTGCTCCGTTCTCTGATGCATATCCAGTAAAACAAAGGACTATCAGGAACCGGAACCAGCTGCCTCCCCCACCTGGAGAGCAGCCCCGTATATAACTGGCCTGTAGTCTTTGTTCTGGGAGATGGTTCTTTGGGCATGAGTTGGCCACTTTCCCTCTTGCTAGCAAGCTGTAATGGAGTCCTTTCTCTCCTACCACCTTGTCTCCTGACTATTGGCATGTCTTGCAGTGAGCAGACGACCCACGTTGGGCAGTGACAGTAGGAGCTTTGTACCAACAAAACCTGAGGAGCTCATCAGGGGGGACAGTCTTTCAGGTGGGCAACAGATGAGAAAAGGGCTCCTCGGGGTGAGGGGCTGGCCTGGGAGATGGGCTTTGATGGACGATGCTGAGAGATGTTGGGGTGTGGACTGAGCAAGTTTAACTCTTATGCTCTCTCCTAGCTTTGGAAATCTCCATCTGACAAGTAAAACCTGAAAGCAGGCCAATCCCTTATAACTGGGAAGCAGTCCAGAGCTGAAATTCCTTTAGACAACTTGCGAGGAGTCCATGACTGCTGGAGCCCATGCAGAGTGGCCACGGAGCCCGCTCCCTCATCTACCTTCTTTGTCTTCTGGGTCATCAGAGGGGCTGGAAGTATTCAGTTTGCAGTATATGTGGCCCGAGATGACATTCCAAATGATAATCTCCCCATCATAGCTGGAGGTGGCAAGAAGAAAAGGTGGGCATTGAGCAACACAGAGGATGTCCTCCTTGTGCCCATGGCTCTGAGAAAGAGAGAGACAGAGAGGGTTAGAGTAAGAAATCAAATTCCCAGTCCCCCACCCCAGACTTCGTTCTTCAGTCCCTGTCGACAAAAATAATCCATAACCAACCCATAAATGAAAATTTGGGTGAGTTTATCCTGAGCTAAAATGTGAGGACCATGGCCTGGGGCCTTTCTTCCTGAAGGAATAAAGGGTACCAAAGAAGTGGGGTGTACAGAGTGGTTATATACCCCTAAAGAGGATGTTTCACATATGATTGAAATGTCCCTTTTACAATAGTTGCGTGACTGCTCCGCCGGCACAATGATTGATGGACACAGCAGGTAGGTCTGCTGTCTCAGTGGACACAGCAGGGTGGCAGGTCTGTTGTCCCGAGCTGGGTGGTCACAGGTGAGCTGGGTGGTCAAAGGTGAGTGCAGCAATCAGTTCCTAGGCTAAGGAAAGATGCTTATCCTTAAGGAAATGCCAACGTGGAGGGAAGTTGCACCTTTATCTTAAGGGCATTTGTTCTTGCCATAGGAAATGTTTAAGCGCATATACAAGGCGTGCTCAATGGCCACAGTCAGGCCCTTTTGGAAAAAACGAAGTTAGGCCGAATTAGGTTTACACCAAATGGCTTCCTCATATACTCCAATATATCCTATTGCTTGCCATTTCTATTTGTCATCCCTAAGACAGAGGATGTGGAGTGGTTCCTCCTCTGTGGTTGCCTACAGCAAGGACCTGCCTGGAGCCTGGGGCCCAGCCCAGAGGGTCAGGGGCATCCGTCCATGTAGGAGTCTATTGGCAGGTCAGCCAGAGAGGTGCTGAGTCTCCTTGGGTCAGTTCTGTCACCTTCCCCAGGGAAGTGCTACTCCTAGCAGCTTCCTTACCTCGCCACAGTGCTGGCAAGGAGATGACTTACAAAGGAGCCCTCTTTGGGGCTGAAATTTTGATGGAAATGGGACAATGGAAGTGGACAAGGTGGTTTGGTTTCCCAAGTCTCAATTCCAGAGTGTAGTGTTCCTTGACTTGGTTTCTGCAGGGCTCCCAACTGCCCTCCACTGTGGGTTAGAAATTGAAGTCAACCACTCTCCTCAAAAGGAGGATTTTTGGATATGGACACTTAAGAAAGATAAAAAACTAAAATGGATTTTTCGAGACCAATGCTGCAGAGTTCAAAGTGTCCCTGGCCATCATCTTTCACCTTTCTCACTGGGGTGCAGTTTTCATGTGAAAAGAATTGGCCTCTCTTGGTGCGATAAAGATATTCTTTCTCCCTTGCCCTCATGTATTCCCCACAGAGTGCCCCCTGAGGACCTCTCCGTGATCATCTAAGGTGCCCCTTCTGCTCGAAAGCAGCTGGGAAGGTGGTGTCATAAGACTTTTGGAAAGAGAAGTCAGTGGCTCTCTCTCCACTGCTAAATCCTGCCTGCCTCCTCAATTTGTGAGCGCTTAGGTCTAGGCTCCTCCTTCCATGGTCCCCCACTGCCTACAGAAGAAGTTTACATGCCTTAGCGTGGCTTTCAAACTCTAGTTTAACTTTCCAGCCTCATTTTCCTCCTGAACCTAATGCTCCAGCCCCTCAAACTTTTCATAGTTCTTCCAAACAATGTGCTTCTCACACTTCCAGTCTTGGCTCATGCCTTGCCCCTTTCTCCCATCTAGATTGCCTTTCCCTACCTTGGCCTCCTGGAAATATCCTAGTAATCTTGTAATATCCTATATGACATTAGAGCAAAGTTAGTAGTTTCCATCTCTGGGTTTCTCCAGCATTTTATACATTATTATATCTTCTGTCACACTGTATGATTATTATTTCCTTAGTTTATTTCCTTGCCAGTCCGTGAGATTCTGGGCCAGGAATCACATTTTATTCACGTTTGTATATTCTGTACCTATCCACAAGGACAGCACTATGAAAGTGCTTGGTAAACATGTGTTGAGTGAGCCGATAATTGAACAAACAAATATCCGAATGAACTAACACTCCACTGACTCTTCCATGACTTCTGCCCTTGCGATGCCCATGGCTTCCCTGGGGCATTTTCTGCATATCTTTGTTCTTTCACTCAACAATCACTAATCTGCAAGCTTCATGAAGGCAGGGACCGTGTGAAGACCATTTTGCTCATCACTGCATCTCCAGTGAACAACACACACTTGGCGCACAACGGGCATTTGACACATGCTGATTGAATGAAAGCATATTAATTGGGCAGCTACTATAAACCAGGCACTGGTCTAAGTCCTGGGAATACCACAGTGAGGACAGACAAGGTTTGTATTCTAGCGACTTGTACCTTTTGGAATATTTACGGGGGCATAAGGCAGGGTTGGGTGGTGGCAGATGGTGGGGCACAGTGACCTTTCTTTCTTAACAGTTGTCTTATTGGCTTGACATCCAGACAATTTCGAGGGAGGTCATTCAAGCCTGAGAAGCTGCAGAAAATTGGGGGCAGTTTGAGTGTTAATAAGAATCACAAGAAGTCCCCTGTTTATGGTCCCCTAACAAGCCACAGGGCAACAGGAATGTCATCTCTTAGGCTCCCTGGCCACCCACGGATGGCACAGTGAATGCGAACAGTTTTGCATGCCAAGCAGAAGCAGGAAGTGGATGCTTCTTTAAGCAAAGTCACACCCACCACATCCTGGGCTGCCATTCCTGCACTACAGCACTCTTGGCTGAGCTCGTGGAGAGCTGCATGGATTTGCTCCTGTGGCCTCATGCCCCAACCTGAACACAGGTCCATCACTCTTCCTGGAGCAGAAGTGGCTGCCTGGAGCTCAGTGCTCTTGGCTCTACCTGGACCCCAATTATGAATGCCACCACAGCAGAGGCTTTTGAGATGCTTGTGACCTTCCTAGGCAGGCCCAGGAGACTCAGGGTGAGGCCCTGGAGTGAAGGAGATCCTCATCGTGTGCCACTGTTTGGGTCAAGAGCCAGACGGTGGGCCAGGGCTCACCAGGTCATCCTGCCAGTGTGGCTGTGGCTTCCAGAAGTGATGAAAATCATGTGCCGTGCCCTGTATCCAAAGCCAAACAGGAGCCGTTGTACAAGTAGTAAAACGAGCTGCCAACACACTCACAACTTCAGAGAGAAGGCGACAGCACGTTTTATAACCCTACCCCTCACCCAGCCAGTGATGTAGATTTTCAAAATGTCAAAGCAAATTCCCCTCGTGCCAGTGGGAATAAAAAGCAATCCATTCCTGACGTTTGGTTGATTGCATTTCAGCAAATCATATGTCAACTGACAAGCTCTCCTCAGATGGTCTGCATAACTTCACCTTCATAATAAGACCCATAGCTGTTGCACGCACTAAACAAAAGCCATCAGCCCAGGAACCTATAATACCAAAGGACAAATTCAACGCCAAGACTTCTCAGGTAGTCGTCTCTCAAATCATCCGAGGACGCAAGGCTTAGGCTGTGAAATACAGCACACTTTCAAATGCATAAAGAACTTACAATGTTTAAAGACACTCAGAAATCCATGACCGTCCAGCCTAGCAAGCAGAGGAAATAAAATGCCACAGGGAGATTTAGAACTTAGTTTTAGTCAGCATTTTCAGCTTCCTTTGTCTCTTAATCTCCTTCCTCATCTTTAAGCCATAAAAAAAGGACTCTTTGCACAGAGATGCTTATGGATGACATTTCATCTCCTCCTTTCATTTAGAGAGGGACTAGCGCACAAAGCTGAGGTGGGAAGAAGAAGGAAGAACTAAAAGGCTGGACAGTAGACAGACTGGCTAACCTCCGAGGAGGGTGAGAGTGTGTGGGAAAAGCTGGAAGGCTCCGCATGCTGCGGGGAGTGAAGCCTGCCGGCCTGCACAGAGGGTGAGAAAACCAGGCCAGGTGTGGACAGCCACGGCGGCCACGGGTGCTGAGGCACGGTCTGGTCTGGACTCCCAGGGACACCCCCACTGCCGCTCACAGCTTTTTTAGCTAGCACTTTGTGGTATTGTGATTTATAAGAAGATATATGTGTTTGGTCTTTGTCCCCATTTCTGGCACAGAGCTCTTAAAACCCTTGGAGTTCCCTAAGAGATGAGGACATGGAAACTCCCTGCCCTTCCCCATACCTTGTGCCATGCATCTCTTCCATTTGGTTGTTCTTGAGTTATCTCCTTTTATAGTAAACTGGTGATCTAGTAAGTAAAACTTTTCTCTGAGTTCTGAGAGCCACTCCAGAGGATTAATCAAACCCAGGGAGTGGTCGTTGGAACCTCCCATCTAGAGCCACTTGGTCAGAAGCCAGGTGACAACCTGGACCTGCAACTGGCACCTGAAGTTGAGGGGGAGGCAGTCTTGTGGAACTGAGCCCATAACCTGCGGAATCTGATGCTATTTCTGGGTAGGCAGTGTCAGAAGTGAGCTGAATTCTTGGACACTAGCTGATGTTGGGGAACTGCTTGTTGAGGTGGGACCCCCCTCCCCACCCAAGAATTGGGTGCAGAGTTGTTATACTTCTTCCCATAGAAGAGAATCAGAGGGAAGAAACTGACACAAGTAAAAGGTTTTTTAAAGGAAAGGAAGAAGGAAAGATGAGAAGGACAAAGGAAGGGAGGGAGAAAACTCTTTTGTCTATATCATGGCTTGACGTGTACCAGAGAGCAGAGGCATAAAGAATTACTCCAAAATCTGTTTTCAAAGGGAAAAGAATCAATAGAGAAAGAGTGGAGAAGGATATCAGTCTGAAGCAGGTTATGATTAGAAATATCATAATTTTGTACATTTCACTTACAAAATACACGTTTATTCTTCTGTCCCATCCAACAGCTATGATACACCTAGAACAATAATAGAATATTACATTTTGATAATTAAGCTTATCATCTGCTTAATTTTCACAGGCGATCAATACTGTGGTTTAATTTTGCCATGTCTACGTGATAAACAAAGAGAGCAGCAAAATAATCTCTTCTGTTTTTTATGAAGAACTAGATTAAAAAATGTGATTTGATAAGTTAGGGTTAGTTTTTGAGCTAGTGCTTAAAGGATCAGGAAGCAGAAACAGGACACCATGTAATTTCCAAGGTCCACAGGCGCTAGTCCGTGAGCAGCTGCCTTCCTGAGGACCACTTGATCCTAAGAGCATGGTCGAGCCGTGGAGGCTAGGACACGAACAGAAATTGACTGATAACTTTTTTTACCTTTTTAGTGTTCGGGAGGGAATTTATCGGATTCTTATTCTTTGACTTATCACTGCTGAATTTAACTACTCTAGTCTGTGATTTATTCCCTAAGAAAGTGTTTGGTGGAGAGATACGGGGCTCCCTATCTCTACCACTAAGCAGTCATCAAAAGGTGCAGAGAATTGCTTCCAATATTCTGGAAGATCCTAGTTGCCTAAATTACCATCAGGGAGCAGCCAGGGTCAGGGAATTCTTTGACACGTTTCCTTCTGGAAAATTCCATTCACTGTATTGGTGTCCCCCAGAGAAAATTTTGTATCAAAAAAGATGAAGATAACTCACTTATTTTGGTTCAGCTCCAAGCAGGTGCAATCACAAACTTCACTTTGCTTTTCATCTAGAAAGATAAGGTTATCAACTTATACTGAACATTTTTCTTTATTAGTTCTTGAATCGGCTGACACGCATTGCCTTAATCCAACTGATGACGGAGGGAAACTTCAGTACTTTCTTCCTAGTGTTCAGACCTCAGGTAGGTGCTTTCAAGTGTCTAAAGCACTGCTGACTTCCTGCCCGCCTCATTGCCCTAAAAGGTGGACTTTGTCCTTGCTCAGCTATGGGAAGAGCTCACCTTCTCCTGATGGGACCCGATACAGTGCCTGGCACTCACTGAGTGAGTGAATGAACGCATGCAGGTCAAATGCAGGACTAGGAATCACAAACTCAGTACTTGGAGTAATTTTTGTCTTTTTTACTTCGACTTCACTTATACTCTCTGATAATTGAAGAACATTTGCCTCTTATCTTCCTCACAGAAGCTTTTGCAGGCTTGAATTGTGAAAATTTTACCAAGAACATATACAGTAAATAAATAAATGGAGTAAGCAGCCTTGAAAAGAAATCGCAATAACACACAAAAGCGACTAACTTTTAGGTTGTTAATCTAGATTTGACTTACCTTTAAAATGTTTAGAAAATTTAAGCTCTTTTAAGAAATCAAGTCGATAGCAGACAACGATAGGACAAATGCATGAGGCATGGCTGGGAGCACATACATTTATATACAGTGTGTCCCTCCTAAATAGAAGTTTAGAGTCGTTGGTGAAACGAAATGCCAGAGAAAAGGGATGTAGGATTGTACACGCATCTTAGAGTCTATCTCTTTGGATTTCTTCCACACTTACTACAAATGCCTAATCTTACGTTATTATTTTATGGGGATGGGTGGTAGGAAGTGACTTGCCATGTTTCAGGGAGTGCAGACAATGCTCATTGTTGTAGCTCCATATTTTCAGACAGCCATCTCTGCCCCCAGTTATTAGCCTAAGAAACAGAGTCTATCATCAGGATTGCATGTCAGGGGTCACACTGCCTAATGGTTGAAGATACTGTGGAAGGCACATATCTTCTTCCACCGGAGTCAAAGATCAGACAAGTGATCCCAGCATTGTCATGAGCCTCAGTAAATTCAGACAACAGTCTTCCTGTTTCAAAGTGCCATACTTTTCACCACCTGTATCAGGAAGTTGAAAAACAGTGACCTAGAGATACTGGCTATCAAACCAAAGAGAATTTGCATTTAGAGTCTAGTGTCATAGACATGAAAGAAAAAAGTGCTAAATAAATGGCAAGCAGTAGGATATTGGGGCATATGAAGAAGCCATTTGGCGTAAAACTAATTCGGCTTGAACTTGTTTTCCCAAAAGTGCCTGATGTGGTGGTTGAGCATGCACTGTATATCTGCTTTAAGTATTTGCTATGTCCTGAAGACGAGAACAATGCCCCTTAAGGTAAGGAAAGAAGTAACTTTCTCCACATCTGCATTTCCTTAAGCTTTAGCATCTCTCCCTAGGCTAGGGATTGATTGCTGACCTGCTGTGACCACCCAACTCAAGACCACAGACCTGCTACCTGCTGCGTTCATCAATTGCTGTGTGAATCACTGTGCCAGCTAGGCAATCTCGTGACTGTTGTAAAAGGGACGTTCCAATCATATGTGACACATGCTCTTTGACAGTATATAACCACTCTGCATACCCCTACTTCTTTGGAGTGCTCCCTTCCTTTGTGAAAGGACTCTCCTGGGCTATATTGTTCTCAGATCTGGCTCATAATAAACTCACCCCAATTTTGATTTATAGATTGGTTATGGATTATTTGTGTTGGCAAAAGTTTACCCCCAAACTATCTGCACCTCCAATACCAGTTGGCTTGCCTGAGTGTATTGGTCTGCTAGGGCTGCCACAACAGAATAACATAGACTGGGTGGCTTAAATGACAGAAATTTATTTCTCACTCTTCTGGAGGCTGAAAGTCCAAGATCAAGTTGCCAGCAGGGTTTGGTTTCTTCGGAGGCTTCTCTCCTTGGCTTGCAGATGGCTGCCTTCTCATTGTGTCCTCACATGGTCTTTCCTCTGTGCACGTGCACCCCAGTGTCTCTTCATGTGCCCATCTTCTCTTGTTATAAGGACACCAGTCATATGGGATTAGGGCCCACGCTAACAGCCTCATTTTAACTTAATCACCTCTTTTAAGGCTCTATCTCCAAATGCAGCCATATTCTGAGGTCCTGAGGGTTAGGACTTCAACACATGAATTTTGGGGAAACACAGTTCAGCCCATAACATTCAGTGAGAAGATTAGAAGATTTAGAAATCTTAGGATAAAAATCTCCTGACCATCCAGGCTCAGAGAAAACAGGTGTGGATTGAATTTTGAACAGCAAAATTTATTCACCATCAAAGCACAGCTGAATGAGAAAGATGACCTGGGTTTTGGCAGGATATCTCTTCTAACCCCTCAGCTTTAAGATTTCACTCAGTCCAACTAGTTCCAGTCTCAAGGTTACTTTCTTTTAGCCCCATCCCTTGAGCAGTGTGGAGGATCAGAACTGGCCACCCCAAAATGTATCTCTTTGCCTTGCTTTGATTATTTTTAAAAACAAAAGACTCTGAAAGAAACTTTGACCTTCCCCCTAACTGCTTAATAAAAATTTAAGATAAAAGGCCTGTTGCCAGGACAGGGCATCACTGTAGATAACTCTGGGTAGCGATAGACTATGAGAGTCTTTGCTAAGCTCATTCGTATTAAAGTTCTGTTCACCAGACATCTGCTTTTGCATTTCCATGTGAACTGCCTTCCTCCCCTTTGAAGTCCCACTCCCTCCAACATCCTCCTTTGTCTTTAGCTGAGGATGGTATTTAAGATGAGAGCCTCAGCCATTCTGGCGAGTTAGTTTTCCTGGGTCTCTCCCATGTATACATGCTATAAAGCTTCGTTTGATTTTCTCCTGTTATTCTGTCTCATGTCAATTTAATTTGTAGCCCAGCCAGAAGGACCTAGAGTGGGTACAGGATTTGTCTTCCTCCCCTACAGCAGCCTTTGAATGAGAATCATCTTTAAAGGGAGTTGAGTAGCATCTGTCATGACTGGTTGAGGTAGGGGTCCAGGGCTTCCTCTGGGGCAGGTTTTCTGGAGGCTGCACACAAAGGCAGTGACAGTGTGGAGGAGAAACACCTGAGGACAGCACTTTTTCTCAGGACTGTCGAATGTTCCTTCTAATTTTCCACTTTCTAAAAGAGGCTGTTCCATTGACATTACGGAAAGTTCTGGATCTCTAAACTGGAAACCAGAAGGCATCCTCTCACTGTTGTTGATTTCAAATTGCTGAGATCAGATTTTCAGTAGTGCATACTTTACTTCCCTCCCTTTGTCCTCCTACAACAACAGGGGTGTCTACAGCTCAAGTGCATTCATCCGTTCTCCTTAACATTGCAATAGACTCATAGCATCACTGGGTTTTACTTTGGTGGTTTCAATCATTTGCAAATATCCTGAAGTTCCACAAATGCAGTGATCTGTAATATGGTTGAGGTCCAGAACTGGATGAAGAAGCTGTTGGCATGGAAGAGTGAGCATAGAGGGCATGAGTTGAGCAGACAGCCCAGGATCCCTGTCCCCACCTCCCCAAGAGAGGCATCTTCCCTCTGGACCTGCCTTCCCCTTAAATACACACACCCATATTTTTTTTAAAATAAAATTCTCCCAAGAAAGTCACCTGCTACTGCTGGTAACAGAAGTGAAAAGGTTGAAGTGAGCAATGGAAATATCTTTAAAAATGACTAGAGCTCTATTCATAGAATCAAGAAAAGTGTAGAGGTGGTGTTGGTACTTTCCACGTGCACCTTACTTAGATTTTGGGGAGGGGATTTCATGCCACAGCAGGGTACCCTTCAGAACTTCCTGCCCAAGCTATTCTTCCTCTTGGAGATCCCATCCAATTCAACATATTAAAATACAACCACATTCCAAATTAAATATAATTTTGCTAGTAAAAATTTTGAAATAATTTAAAGGATATTTATAGTTTTAAGCTCTGTTGACAAAAACTAATTGTTATTCTTATAAACTTTCATATTATGTATAAGTGTGTAAGTTGCAGTTCATATGTAATATGCTGTAAACATTTAAGTGAACATTTATTAATTTTCACTGTGCAGTTTTCAAGCATTTTCAGAGGCATTAAAAGTTGGTGGTCCCTAGCAGTCTACTAATACAACTGAATGGACAAAATGTGGTATAATGATAGTCATAGACTCAGGCTGCATGAAGAACTTGGGCTATCTTCTCTCCTCCACAAATATCAAGAGTGCAGTGTGGTTGACATGCTATGGATTGTGACAGTGGCACAATGATGTTACAGATTTCACACAGCCACAGATTTGCAAGGTGAGCAAATACTCAAGGGAATAATTTAATCAGAAAGTTTCAAAGAGTTTATCACCAGCCTGTGCCTGATACAGTGATAGCTGTGAGAGTATTTATATCTCAGTTCAACATCCACGGATCACCCACTGCCAGGGGAGATATGCATATCAGAAGCAACATGGCTGAGGGAGATGACTACGTTAGCATAGCATCAGAAGCCCAAATGCTAATGAAGCCATTCATCCTGCCTGGATGTGGGAGGGGATCTAGGAACATTTCTCAGAGGAGCTGACTTCTGCCTTGTGCCTTGAAGAATGAGAAGGGTTTTGACAGATCAAGAAGGAAAGAAGACAGGAACATAGATGTTCTGATCCCTGTCCTCAAGTGCCTGCTGAATTGTCAGAGAGGTGAGGCTCATGCATGTGAAACAGAGCAGAGCAAGTAAGAACACAATCCAGAACCACAGGGAAGGTACCAACGGTGGGTGGCCAGGAAGAGGGAGACGCCTGTGTGAGCCAGGGCGGTGAAGACGAGTTTGGTGGAGGAGACAGGACTTGCGTTGGGCCTTGAAGGATTGCTAAGGTGTGAGTAGAAGAGGAGCAAGCAGGAAATTCCAGGGTGGAGATGGGGAGAGGTTGGACAGAGCCAGGGGCAGGAAGGTGCAGGATGGTGAGAGGTAAAAAGATTGGCTTGCCAGGAGTCATAGGTGATTCTGATAAATACGGAAGATAAATGCTTCTTTGCAAGTAAGAACCCAAACTATGTGGGAACCCACCTTCTTTGAGATGAGTTGGGACTGAATCATCATAAAAAAATTTTGGCCAACACATCTGGTAATCTATTTCTTTTAATACTTAATAACACCATGGTGATGACTAATCTCTGGAGTGGGAACTAGGTAGGAACATATGTGAAGACAACTGAGTCTCGCAGGGAGGGAAGCCGAAGTGAGTGTGAACAGGAAGAGGACATGACTGGGCTGCGATGCCCCCAGGCTGTGAATCCTCAAGACGGGCTGCACCAGGCTCTGGCAGGAAGAAGGAAAGAGGGCACGGCCAGATGGCCCCAGAAACTCACTCATGATGCCAGAGCCCAGGCCAATGATGCAGAAAGTGACTGAACTAACATTAGGAGATTTCAGAACATTTAAACATCATGAGTGCACCTAGGGTGTGCCCTTTCATTAGCTCAAGGACAAAAGTACACAAATTATGGGATGTGCATCTTTCTCTGCTCTTATCCTAATTCACTGAGCATTCACCCAGTCCCCTCCTGTGGGCTAGACACTATGCCACTCATCCAGCATGGGGCCAGCGTGGTCTTCATGAGCCCCTCAAAAAGGGGAGGTGGATGTGGAATGCTCTGTACCCTCAAACCCGCATTGGGGTTACAGTGTATTAGAGTTGTCTTAATCGATCGTACAAGAGAATCACAATGAAATAATACTGTTCCATAGTACCAGTTGGTCCTTCCACTATAAGTGTAGCTCACACTATAAGCCACTGGAGAAACTGTGAGCTCCTCCACCAGCTTTCACAGGAACTCTTCCACACAATACTTGATGATTACCAGAGTAGAACTGAACCTTCCATTCTTGACTTCCAGGGACAGACCATCCCCCAAACGCTCTGCTCAGCTCCAAGGTGAGGATGGTGGGGCTAGGCCCACACTTGCAAACACATCATTGCTGATGAGAGCAAGGTTGACACTTACGGAGGCTTCTGAGCAGCTGACCACCTGCCAGGAGGCCGGGTTGTACCAGCAGCAGCCCACGGGCTCTTTGTGGGATAGCACCAGGTGAGGCTCGGGGGGTGATCTTGCTCATGAAAAACAGAGAGAGAATGAGAATCTGGACCAAGTGTCTGACATGGACACCCAGGATGAGGCAATAATCGCTTTATTAAAGAATGGTTAAGGGCCAGCCCTGGTGGCCTAGTGGTTAAATTTGGTGTGCTCCACTTGGGTGGCCCGGGTTCAATTCCAGGGCATGGACTTACACCACTTGTCTGTCAGTGGCCATGCTGTGACAGCGGCTCACATACAAAACAGAGGAAGCTTGCCAACAGACGTTAGCTCAGGGCAAATCTTCCTCAACAACAACAAAGAACAGTTAAGAGGATAGGCTTGAGTTCAAATGGTGGATCTACAACTTTGGACAAGTTGCTTAGCTGCTCAAAACTCCAATATTCCTGTCTGCTAAATGGGGATAATGGTGTCTACTGTAAAGGGCTGTTTTGAGGATTGGAGGAGAAAACATAGACTGTCCTTAGCACAGACCTTTGCATCTATACCCGGCATGCAGTGAGCTGTGGCCGCTAACTGTGAACCCTGAGACCACGCCTCTCCTCCTCAGGGCAAGAGGAGTGTGACTTCCTGAGACTACAGACTGGACCTTCCCTATTAATTTGCATCTTACCCCTAAAAAATGCAAATGTGTTATTCCATTCTGAATCCTCAAGTCTGAAAGGCAGCACTTCTCGCTCACTGGATGAGGCCAGGCCAGATGCTGGGAGGCCCTGCAGCACACCTCTCCCGGGCAGCCAGGTGCAAAGGGCTCACCTGTGCCTGCGGGCCCGTGAGCCGTCTCTGAGAGGTCAGCACGCAGAACGGACAGCCCTCGGAGCTAAGCAACCCAACCCCTTTGCTCTAATTTCCTCATCTGTAAAATGGAATTCTTTGTAGAGATTTTGTGAGAAGTGAGAACAAGGATGTAAGACATCTGGAGGAGCTCAGCTGCCGTGGACACATAATGCACGAACGTTGGTCCCCTGCACAGCTGCCCTGCCTTCTCTCTCTATGGTCCCTCTGACGCCCGGCCCCCAGGCTGAGCTGCTAATAGAGATTTGGTGGATCCGGGGCCTCAGACTTAGTGTCCAGGCTATTCTTGGCGTGGGTAGAATTCTCTTCAAAGCAGAACAGGATTTGGAATAAGGATGATCAGAACTTTCCCATGATGGTCCCTGGGCTTCAGGATGTGGGGGTGGAGTCTGGCCCACGGGAGAGGAGGAGGGAAGGGCATGGAGCCCAGTCTCAAAGAGAAAGTGCTGGGCCTTGCAGCCAGGCCCTCCTTTCCCCCCTCTCCCTTTCTCAGCCCCAGGAGGAAGGAGCTGAGTCTCCCTGCTTCACAAATGAGGAAACCACCAGAAGGCTGAGCAGGGCCTGGTAACTTGGTCAAGATCACAAAGCTCCGGAGTGACAGCGCAGGGACTGGCAGACATTATCTGTCATCTCAATGCTGGCACTAGAGATTGAGGCTGTTTTGCAACAAGGTGAAATTTCAGTCACTTTGCTCCAAAAAAAATAAAATAAAATCAATCAGACAGGCTGTTTGTTCTCTGAAGCGATATCATGTAGAACGAACAGCAGTTTGATTGACTGAACTTCCCGTTTTTCGGCTGGTTGCCTTGGCATCTTGAGTGAGGAGCCCGGGCTTCCAGGCCTGGCTGTCATGATGGTTGGGCAGTTCTTCTGCCAGGGTTCTCCTTGTCCACACAGGCCTTTTCCACTTGGGCCTCAGTGGGCAAACTGGGAAGGGAGGATACAGACACTGGCAGCAGCCACACATTCTGGACTCCTCCATGTAGTTCTGATGCTGTGAAATCTGATCCCATTTCCATAAAGTTAATTCTTAACGCATGATGTAATCGCAGGGTACAATGCACTGTATTTAAGATTCTCCCTATGCAGATGTTAATTAAAAAATTTCGAGACTGTATGCCATCATTTTTGGCTCAGGAAATCCAGTCACAATTATCATATAGATAGGATTTGAAACCCGCAAACTACATATTCATTCTACGAGCTTTCCTGCATCCTTTCCCTCATTCTCACCGACTGCTGACTTGGGATTCGTAACACTGCTGAACATGAGGGGAAAAGCCGCAGAGGGAGGGAGGAACATATTTGTGGCAGTACAGCCAGGGCGGGTAATAGGGTGGGGGATGTTTGAACATTAATAGTGGGCCATGTTTGAACCATGAGCAGACTATAAGGATGGTCATACTTGTAGAACATAGAGGGCCTGTCAGTTCTCAAAGCATAGGTGGTGTGCCCCCCCAGCCCTGCCAGGTGGGCTGGGTAGAGCTCCTCCCCTGCCAAGGCAGAGACAGGGCATGACTTACCCTAAGGTCCCTGGGCCCAGGGAGGCAGAGCCAGGTCCCTCGCTGCCCACAGGTGTCTCTCAGGATGATCTGAAAGGAGCCCTCTCTGCAGGCTCTGGAGAAGGAAGACTAGCCAAGGTGCATCCTATGGCCTGATTTTTTTTGAGCATAAATCTCCCGTCCACTTTGAAGTCTCAGAGAGAGTTATTCTCTTTCGGCGGGAGTAGCACAGTCCAGGGAGAAGGCGGCGGACCGTCTGCTCCTAACTCCCTGTGACCTTGGGCAATTCTTTCTCTTCTCTGGGCCTCTGTTTGCTCTTCTGTAAAACTCCAGGGTTGTCCTAGATGCCTTCTGGGTACCTGGGAGGCAGGACTCAAAACTCGTCAGTAAGACAGGACAGTCTCAGCAGAGGCAGGACAGAGACAGGCACCTGGAGCGGACGCTTAGCGCCGAGGGGAGGAGCATCTAAGTGGCCTCTCTGGGTGTGAAAGGAAAGGCAGTCTAGCACCCAATTTTCCTTGCTGAGGAGGCACGGTCATGTAGCAAAGGTGTGTCGAGGCAGCCAAGGTGGGCTCATTTGCAAAGGAATCAGGGGATGGGGTCTTCAAGGCATTCGAGCTCCCTGACACAGAGGCAGGAGAAGCCCACTGGAGGACCCTCCATAAGGACCTGTCTCATCATCTAGACATGTGCCATCCCGGAAAGGCTGCCCTGCTTAGGACAGGGTCTCAGACATGGGGCAGTGGGACTCATGTGGGGTCGCTGCCTTTGGACTGAATGAGCAGCCCCCAGGGCCTCTTGGACGGTTTACTCTAGGGGTAGGGCTGGTGGGTGGAATAGGGCTCAAGAGGTAGATTCCAGATCTTTGGACAATATAGAGAGGTGGTGCTGGAACAACTAATGAGAAATGTTAACAAGAGCTCACCAAATGTACACCGTGAGCTAGGGACACGGGTATTCAGTTGGGGAGCTCACACAGAGACCTGAATGGTGGAGCACTAAGTAGGAAGTTGGAGCAGCTGCTCTGGGCTCTGCAGGACCTTCCAGAGAGCTGACTGCTGGGACCAAGTGGATCACCTCCTACCTCAGTCTCAGGTGCAGGAGCACAGCAGTGTCAGAGGCCACCCACAGTGCTCTGGGGCCGGGCAGATAGAGGCAGGCTGCCAGCTCCCCCTTAAGACCGCTGGCTTTGGAGGACACGGTAAATAAGGAGCTGTCTGTCTCCAGATCCCAGATCTGAGGAGGAAATGAGGAAAGAGGACTCAGAGGTCTCGAGCAGCCTGCTTTGCCATGCTTCCAAAGCTGTCACCTGTCGTGGGGGTCCAGCTGGGCTTGACTAAAGTTTAAACATTGCCCCACTCCCATCTCACTGAAAGGGGTTCCGTTGTTAAAAGGGGTTCCTTCTTTTTTTTTTTTTTCACTTGAGATTCATAAAAGTTTACATCATTGTGAAATTTCAGTTGTATGTTATTTCATGTCTGTCGCCACACAAGTGCTCCCCTTGACCCCCTGTGCCCACCCTCCACCCCCCTTTCCCTGGTAACCACCGAACTATTTTCTTAGTCCATGTGTTTGTTCATATTCCACATATGAGCAAAATCATATGGTGTTTGTCTTTCTCAGTCTGGCTTATTTCATTTACCATAATACCCTCCACGTCCATCCATGTTGTTGCAAATGGGATGATTTTGTCTTTTTTCTGGCTGAGCAGTATTCCATTGTATATATATACCACATCTCCTTTATCCAATCGTTGGTCAATGGGCGCTTGGGTTGCTTCCATATCTTGGCTATTGTGAATAGTGCTGCAATGAACATAGGGGTGCATATGTTACTTTGGATTGTTGATTTCAAGTTTTTTGGGAGGATACCCAGTAGTGGGATAGCTGGGTCATATGGTATTTCTATTTTTAGTTTTGTGAGGAGTCTCCATACTGTTTTCCATAGAGGCTGCACCAGTTTGCATTCCCGCCAGCAGTGTATGAGAGTTCCCTTTTTGCCACATCATCTCCAACATTTGTTGTTTTTGGTCTTGGTAATTACAGCCATTCTGACAGGTGTAAAATGATATCTCATTGTAGTTTTAATTTGCATTTCCCTAATGATTAGTGATGCTGAGCATCTTTTAATGTGCCTGTTGGCCATCTGTATGTCTTCCTTTGAAAAATGCCTGTTCAGATCTTCTGCCCATGTTTTGGTCAGGTTGTTTGTTTCTTCTTTTGTTGAGTTGTGTGAGTTTTTTATATACTTTGGATATCAACTCCTTGTCTGAGAAGTGATTTGCAAATATTTTCTCCCAGTTGGTGTGTTGTATTTCCATTTTGTTGATGGTTTCCTTTGCTTTGTAGAAGCTTTTTAGTCTGATGACATCCCACTTGTTTATTTTTTCTTTTGTTTCTCTTGTCCAAGTAGACATGGTATTCGAAAAGATCCTTTTAAGACTAATATCAAAGAGTGTACTGCCTATATTTTCTTCTAGAAGTTTTATGGTTTCAGGTCTTACCTTCAAGTGTTTGATCCTCTTTGAGCTAAATTTTGTGTGTGGTGAAGGATAATGGTCTACTTTCATTCTTTTACATGTGGCCTTCCAGTTTTCCCAGTACCATTTACTGAAGAGACTTTCTTTTCTCCATTGTATGTTCTTAGCTCCTTTGTCAAAGATTAGCTGTCCAGAGATGTGTGGTTTTATTTCTGGGCTTTCAATTCTGTTCCATTGATCTGTGTGTCTGTTTTTGTACCAGTACCATGCTGTTTTGATTACTATAGCTTTGTAGTACATTTTGAAGTCAGGTATTGTGATGCCTTCAACTTTGTTCTTGTTTCTCAGGATTGCTTTAGCTGTTCAGGGTCTTTTGTTGCTCCGTATGAATTTTAGGATTCTTTGTTCTATTTCTGTGAAGAATGTCATTGGGACTCTTTTTGTGTGTGTCTGTGTGAGGAAGATGGCCCTGAGCTAACATCTGTTGCCAATCTTCCTTTTTCTTTAATTTTCTCCCCAAAGCCCCAGCTCATAGTTGTATATCCTAGTTGCAAGTCATTGTAGCCCTTCTATATGGCATGTCGCCAAAGTATGGCTTAATAAGCAGTGCATAGGTCCATGCCCAGGATTGGAACCAGTGAACACTGAGCTACAGAAGAAGAGCACTCGAACTTAACCACTCAGCCACAAGGTCGGCCCTGTCACTGGGATTCTGAGTGGAACTGCATTGAATCTGTAGATTGCTTTACGTAGTATGGACATTTTAATTCTGTTTAATCTTCCAATCCCTGGGCATGGAATATCTTCCCATCTCTTTGTGTCATCATCAATTTCTTTCAGTAATGTCATGTAGTTTTCATTGTATAAGTCCTTCACCTCCTTGGTTAAATTTATTCCAAGACAATTTATACTTTTTGTTGCGACTATAAATGGGATTATATTCTTGAGTTGTCTTTCTGTTAGTTCATTATTAGAGTATGGAAACACAAATGATTTCTGTAAGTTGATTTTGTACCTTGCCACTTTGCTATAATTATTGATTATTTCTAATAGTTTTCTGACTTGGATTCTTTTTTTTTTTAAAGATTTTATTTTTCCTTTTTCTCCCAAAGACCCCTGGTATGTAGTTGTGTATTTTTAGTTGTGGGTCCTTCTAGTTGTGGCATGTGGGATGCTGGCTCAGCATGGCCTGATGAGCAGTGCCATGTCTGCACCCAGGATCCGAACTGGAGAAACCCTGGGCCGCTGAAGCAGAGCATATGAACTTAATCACTCGGCCATGGGGCTGCCCCCTGATTTGGATTCTTTAGGGTTTTCTGTATATAAAATCATGTCATCTGCAAACACAGAGAGTTTCACTTCTTCACTGCCTCTTAGGATTCCTTTTCCTTCTTTTTCTTGCTTAATTGCTCTGGCTAAAACCTCCAGTACTATTTTGAATAGGAGTGGTGAGAGTGGGCACCCTTGTCTTGTTTCTGTTCTCAGAGGGATGGCTTTCAGTTTTCCCCATTGAGTATGATCTTGGCTGTGGGTTTGTCATATGTGGCCTTTTACTATGTTGAGCTACTTTCCTTCTATACTCATTTTGATTGAGACTTTTAATCATAAATGGCTGTTGGATCTTGTCAAATGCTTTTTCTGCATCTATTGAGATGATCATGTGGTTTTTCTTCCTCATTTTGTTAATGTGGTGTATCACATTGATTGATTTGCTGATGTTGAACCATCTCCGTGTCCCTGGTATAAATCCCACTTGATCATGGTGTATGATCCTTTTAATGTATTGCTGTATTCGGTTTGCCAATATTTTTTGTTGAGGATTTTTGCATCCTTGTTCATCAACGATATTGGCCTGTAATTTTCCTTCTTTATATTACCTTTCTCTGGCTTTGATGTCACCAATCTGCCTTTTCATCTGTGGTTTAGGTCGTGGCATAGAAAGGGGGAGCAAAGAATGGAGGTGGCAATGGTGATCAAGGTAAAATAATACTATGGAAAAGGTGACCCTAAGGGCTGCTTGTTCAAGAGGCACCTCCTCCCTTCAGGAGTGTTGATTTGTTTGAAGATGTTCATTTTCCTGGATAGGTAACAGGCACAGTTATCATCTGTCACTTATACTACAGTGGGAATCCATTTATCTGTTAATTTCTTCTCACTTCATGACATAATGTTACTGAGAGAAAGGGAGTTTTGGTGAGAGGGAGGACAGAGGTGATTCTGGAATCCAGGAAGAGAGATCTCAGGTGGGATGCTATAGAGGGACCCTGTGAGGTCTGAGAAAGGGAAAGGTAGAGAGGAGCTCTTCATACTGATGTTGAGGTTGACTCGACAAGTTGGCATTAAATCACCCAAATATAAATAACTACAACAAATTAAGCATCGCTGCCTTATCTTGTCTGTCCAGCACCCTCTTGTCTTCTGTCAAGAGATTTGCCTCATTGACCACAAGCAATGGACACAGGACCCAAGCCTGGTCAATCTGTGTCCTTCCCTTGGACTTTTCTGGCTGGAGCTGGTAGTGAAACTGGAATTGGGATGTGAGTTCAAGGCTGTGGGCATCCATGGTCCCTGCCATTCGGAAGGAGAAAGCCTTTGTACAGTAGGAGTGGATGAGACCGATGTGCACCAAGGAGCAGAAAGAAGAAGTGCAGGGGGAGGAGCACACAAACAACAGTGCCATCTCTGACCCAGCTGCCCATGAGGCCATCTGTCTGCTGAGCTGGTTTCAATTACCAGTAAATCCTCCCTTTTCAGCTTAAACTGTTTGAGTTAGATTTTTGTCTCTTAGGCTCAAAAGAGTCTTACCTAGTAAAACTACTCTGTGGTGAGCACACTTCACACGTTATCTTTAATGAGCACAACAACCTGCAAGATGGGTCTTTCTCCCATTTTTTGCAGAAGGGTAAACAGATGTCCAAAAGAATTAAGTAACTTAGTTCCGAAGGACTGAATACTTCACCCAAGGTCAGCTCATTCGTGGTAGTTTCAGTGTCTCAGCTCAAGTCTGTATGTCTCCAAAGCCTTCTGTCCCCCCAAAATCCACACATCCCTGCCCACAGCGTAAAGTTGTCGCTGAGACATAGCTACCAGACTAAGGCATTTCCCACGTTCTCTTTCACCCAGGGTGTGAACTCAGCAGCAGAATGTGAGTGAAAGTGATGTGTCATTTACGGCTTGGATTTTTAGGAGGCAGATATTCTTATGCCTATAGCACCTGGATGAAGAGGGTTCTGAGAACTCAGGCTGCGTGGGGCCCCCAGATGGAGACAGCCTCATTCTTGGATGGGAGAAAAAGTGTCTCTTACCAGGAGCACTGCTGTTGCGTTGTTACAGTAGACAGAAATAAACTCTGTTGTTTCAACCTATGGAAAATACGGGGTTTATTTGTTACAGTGGCAAGCCTTACCTTAACTAATGCACCATGCCATCTTCCTTCCAAGAAATAATTTTCTTTGCATCCTAATTCCTGTTGACATGAAACAGCCCTCGGTGTGGTGTGAAATATTAAACTCACAGAAAATAACAAGAGAAAACGGAAATCTACATCTGTCACTTTACTTTCCTTTAGAGAATGCCAGAAACCAGCAGACTCCTGAAACGTTTCGTGTGTCCCCATGATTTAGAGAAGTGAAATATTTGGGGTGAGAAATCAATTCAAAGAACGAAGTCTATCTGATCAGGCATGCTAGAAATTTAGCTGTGTGGTTCCTAGTTGATTAGTTTTTATTTGATAGGAATAATATATTCTGAAATAAATTACATACCATATTTCCAAGATAGGATTTCAATATATTTTAAACACACTTTGGGAAGTGATTCAATATGCCTGAATCATCACAGGCAAGATGCTAATCTTGTAATCATGAGTTTAGATTGGAAGAAAATGGAGAGGCACTAGGAAAAGAAAATAGGATAGAAGACGTGTCCTCACATACAGAATTATGATTATCTGATGGTGCCAAGTTTTGGGAAAAAAAAGCTCATTAAAAATATGAAGTCGCCAACTTTGTGGCTTTGGAGGATGCGTTTGGATGAATTTGATTTTCAAAATAAATCAAAACTGAAGTCCATAAATCTTACCATTTTAATCAAATTTTCTCAGAGGACTGAATTGAGTTGGGTCCTGGCTGCATCACTGACTGTGATCTCAGCACCTACTTTTATAGAAAGTACCCTCCTCATTGCCATGGGATGGACTCTAAGCTCACTACACAGGAGCCATGTTGGCTCCCTCAAATGGTGAGATGCCAGCACATCATAGTGCCCCTGTGCTCAGTCTTTGAAGATTTTCTCTCCTTTGCCTGCTCTCACTCCCTTTCAGATCTCATCCACTCACTCCAGGGCTTAAAATTCCATCTAAATGCTAATGATTGCCAAGCGTATATCGTCAGCCCTGACATTGCCCCTCAACTCGGGATGACTCTGCCCAACACATCCACAACCGCGCTCCTGACCTCCCTTCTTTTCACCCCCATCTTCCTTCTCTCAGTTTCTGGCTCAGGCCAAAACCTTGGTGTCATCTTTGACTTCTCTCCGCCGAACTTTAAACAAAAAATAACAGCTTTGTTGGGATATAATTCACATATCACAAAATTTGAATTTTTAAAGTGTACAATTCAGTGGTTTTCAGCGTATTCACAGAGTTGTGCAACTGTCACCACTATCTAATTTCAAAACATTTTCATTACACTAAAAAGAAATCCCTGTCCGTTAGTAGCCACCCCCTGTCCCCACCTCACCCCACTCCTTGGCCACCGCTAAACTTTCTAACTCTGTAGATTTGCCTATTCAGGACGTTTCATATGAATGGAATTACACAACACATGGCTTTCTGTCACTGGCTTTCACTTCACATAAGGTTTTCATGGTTCATCCATGATGTAACATTTATTGGTACTTCATTTCTTTTTTGTTGCTGAGTCATATTTCATTGCCTGGATATACTACATTTTGTTTATCCATTTACCAGTTCGTGGACATTTTGGTTGTTTCCACTTTTTGGCTACTATGAATAATGCTGCTGCAAATATTCATATGCAAGTGTTTGTGTGAACACGTGTTTTCAATTCTCTTGGGTATAAACTTAGGAGTGGAATTGCTAGATCGTATGGCAACTCTGTGGTTAACATTTGAAGAACTGCCAAAATGTTTTCCAAAGTGGCTGCAACATTTTACACTCCCACCAGCAATGGATGAGGGTTCCAGTTTCCCCACATCCTTGCCAATGCTCGTCATTGTCTATCTTTTGATTTTGGCCATCCTAATGGGTGTGAAGTGGTATCTCATTGTGGTTTTGGTTTGGATTCCCCTAATGACTAATCATGTTGAGTATCTTGTCATGTGTTTATTGGCCATTTGAATATTTTCTTTGAAGAAATTTCTGTTCCAGTCCTTTGCCTATTTTTAAATTGGGCTATTTGTGCTTTTAGAACTCTGCATTAAAAGTTCTTTATATTCTAGATGCACTTCCTTGTTATATATATGATTTGCAATCATTTTCTTCCATTCAGTAGGTTGTCTAATCACTTTCTTAATGGTGTCCTTTGAAGCACAAGTTTTTAATTTTGATGAAGTCCTTTCTATTTTTTCCTTTTTTCTCTTGTGCTTTTGATGTCTTATCTAAGAAATCATTGCCTAGTCCAAGGTCATGAAGATTTACTCTATGATTTCTCCTAAGAGTTTTGAAGTCATAGCTCTTCTTACATTTAGGTCTATGATTCGTTCTGAGTTAAGTTTTGTGTATGGTGTGAGGTAGAGGATTGAAGTCCAAGATCAAGGTGTGGATAGGTTTAGTTTCTTCTTAGGCTTCTCTCCTTTGCTTGCAGATGACCACTTCTTGCTGTGTCCTCACATGGTCACCCCTCAATCTATGTGTCCTGATCTCTTCTTATAAGGACACCAATCATATTGGATTAGGGCCCAGCAATATGACCTCATTTAACCTTAATTACTTCTTTAAAGGCCCTAACTCCAAATACAGTCATATTTTAAAGTACTGGAGGTTATGAATTTTGAGGGGATACAATTCAGACCATAACGTCTATTGGTCATTTACGATGTGAGTGGTCAGAGCTGGTTAATGTATCTCTGCAACACAGTGGTGCTGATCTCCTCCTGAGGTTTCAGCATTCCTCCGATTCAGAGTGTGCTAAACTCCTACCCTCTGGCCTGTGACAGTCCAGGAAAGAAGGTGGATGAATCATGAAAATTTGTCATATTCATTGGACATGCATACGAAGTGATGGGTGAAGAAAATCAGTGAGATTTCTTTTTTTGTATAAAAATAGTGCATTATGAAGACCACAGGGTAACCGAAGTTTGAGGTGGACAGGATTTTAGTTATAAAGATGGGTGTGAAGGCAAACACAAAGAAGATGGTGATATGACTACCTCCAGCAGGGCCAGAAAGGTTTAGGTTCTAAGCCTTACAGGCAACATCAGAAAGGGCCCACCTGTCCTGTGTGTACTGCAAAATAAGATGATAGCCACTAGCGGCAAGGGGCTGCTGCCTCCCCTATGTCCCCATTCCGTCCCCCATTCTCCTTCTCCATCCTCCACCACACACTCTCACAGAGACTCTTTGGACAGAATGCGAGCAGTGGCCTGAATACTGTAAGGTTTACTCATCTCAATCAAAAACACCAGGTATTGAAAGGCTTCTCAGAGGCTACCCTTCAATTGCTTACATATCCTCCTTTCCAAAGCAAACTCACAAATGAAAATGCCATACGGTATCTGCTGATGCAGAGGCCCCCAAAGCTGCAGAGAGGGGAAAAGAAAACATGAAAGGAACCCCTTCTCTGTCTGAAACCACACTGGGTAACGCATCAGAACACCAAAGGGCAGAGACCTTGACTGCGTTGTCAGTGGACGTGGAAAATATTTTGTTATCCTCAGCAGACACCTGGATGTAGCTCACTGGAGCCGTGTGGCTTTTCAGCATACCTGTTGGTTTTCTAGAATGGAAAAAGAACAGATGAACACCCAGCAGGTCTATCTGTTATTTCTAAATAAAAATGCAAGACTAAACTTGGCCCGGATCTGGCAGTTCTATTCAGCCTGGAGGAGGGTTATGTCTCCCTCTGAAATTACACAAGTATATATCTTGTGTGATCAAAGCACTGTGGCAAATAATACCCACTTATAGCAACACAACTCAGTGTGCGATGAAGCCCTGGGCTTTGTTTCTCCAACTGCTGACAATGTCCCTATAAAAGGAATAGGCAAGGAAGAGCTCAGGCTGGGGTTGGAACAGATTCCATGGCAGGTTGCTGCTTTACGCAGTATTCAGATCTGGGAGGAACGTCTGTGAATATAAGTTTATTTTAAGGAGCCTGGAGGGCTCACAGTGCCCTCAGGGTCTCAGGGCAGGGAGTGTAGTGGGAGGGGGGCAGGTAGGAAGGAGGGAGGCAGGGCTGAGGTTGAAGCAGGGAGCACAACATCTTTTTTTTATAACCACGTCTCTGGAAAGTAAGTGACTGTGGGAAATTGTTCTCCATCAGCAGGCAGATGGGAATCTAAGGTAATAGCAGAGGGGAGAAAATCACATCTCTTTCTTACTTACAGGCACACCTCGGAGATATTGCAGACTCAGTTCCAGACTGCCGCAATAAAGTGAATGTCGCAATTAAGCAAGTCACATGAATCTTTTGGCTTCTCAGAGTATATAAAAGTTATGCTTACACTAAATCGCAGTCTATTAAGTATGAAATAAATAATGTACATACATTAACTAAACAACACTCTATTTTTGCTAAAAAAAAAAAAATGCTAACCCATTCTCTGAGCCTTCAGCAAATCGTAATCATTTTGCCGGGGTGGAAGTCTTGTGAAAAATGCAGTATCTATGAAGCACATTAAAGTGAAGCGCAATATAACAATGTACACCAGTACATCTGACATCATGCTAAGCTTGATACATGGATGATCTCATTTGTAATCTCTGTTTCTACTCTAGGTGTGGGTTCTCTTGTTATCATTATTATAATAAGGAAACTGAGGCTGCAGCCTTGCTCAGGATCTCCCTGCTAGAAAGTGACAGGGGCGAGATAAGAGCCGGTGCGCTTCCAGACCTGGAGTACTGACCCCGCTGCTGCCTGCTCTGCTGAGAGGGGTCATGCAGGTCCTCCACTGATGCCTGCATCAGGGGCTCAGCAAGGAACCATGGCACATCCTAGGTGACATGTTCTTATCCCCAACCCCCACTATCAACGCATGGGAAGACAACTCCCCGTTTCCCACTCTCCTTCCATCTTCAACACTTATCAATGGAAATGACTTTCAGAAGAGGCCAAACTGCATTTGAACCCTGATTCTGCCATTACTCCAAAAAGTTATTTAACTCTGCTGAGCTTCAGTTTCTTCATCAGTAAATGGAGCTGATGTGAGGATTAGAGATAATGTGTATGATGCACGGTGCCTCAGACAAAGTAGGTGCTCAATAAAATGATAGCTGTTGTTATTACAAGGAAGTGCTTCCCAGCACTTGCTCTGGGGGGCTCACCATGAAAGGTTTGAGCCCTATTCTAAGGTGCACAGTGTTTACACATTGAGGGTATGATGGCAACCTACTTTCAATGATCGAACTGTTTGCTACCTTGCTACCTCAATCCCAGACTTTCCAGAACAGTCTCTGTTTTCTTACGTCAATTCTTATGCCTTAGGGGTGGTAGAGTCATTATCAGCTGAGGCTAAACAACTCCAGTGGAGATGCAATGTCAATTTAGGGCCATGTGAGCGAGGTGCACCGAAAGTACATCAATTGCACAGCGAAATCCCTAATCGCTCTCTGCAACTGATCATGGTTCATTGTAGGGAGGACAGCAATCTGATTACAGGAAATCATTCTGAAAGGAGAGTGAATCATGGCTCCACACAGTCTCTTTGTTCTTGCAAAATATTTACTTCTTAAGTGAGTTGCTTATTAATGTCAGAAAACGAATCTTTAATGGCCACAACAGAAGTTTCCTGGGCTGTGTATGTGGAAGATCAGTTTTGGACAGGGGTTCTTAAATTATTCCAAAAGGGCATTAGCATCCCCAGTCCTGCTCCCTTGCACCTTACGAGATCAATGGCACTCTTGGAGAGAGAAAGAAAACTTACCTTGGCAGATAAGGATTCCACACTCTAATTATTCGATCCAGTCCACCTGTCAGCAGCAAGTTCCTTCTCTTACAGAATGAAAACGTCTTGACTCCTGTATAGATGCGAAAAACTGTTTGATCACATTCGGCTCGCCTTTGGGGCAAACCAAGGGATGCTTGGCCTTTTCTCGCCTTGACATCTTTTCTAACATCCCTTATCTCTTTCATCTTTTGCTTGACATTTGTTGTTCCCATACCGTACCCTAAAAATATTCATAGAAAAGCAAAACACAGTTTCTTAATATGGTCAGTTAATGTGCGGACAAGTTGCTGATTTGTAAATGTCCCCGGTTCGCTTTCAGCAATGACTAGTGTTTTCTTCTTCTTTCTCCCCAGGTGTTCAACCATAGAGAGTCTGAAGAATGAAAATGATGTGTGTAGGAAAGGCAAGACCTTTATTCCCTTCCCTCTCTAGAAAGAGGCAAGAAGGGTCATCTGGGAGCAAGAGGAAACATGAAGAGGCCATCTCATTCTGGGGAAACAAACTTACTAAATCTCTACCAGTGCCAGGCATTGTGCCAGGGCCTCTCCACACACGATCTTGGCTGAGTCTCACAGAAACTCAGAGGCAAGCACCTTTCCCTCCACCTTGCAGGTAAGAAAACTTACACCTGGAGAGGTTAAGAAACATGTCATCAAGAAAACTGTGGAGCTAAGCCTCAGACCCAGGGCTGTCTGACTCCTAAACCGGGGCTCATTGAGTCGACCTATCAATTTTATCAACCAACCAACCAATTTTGTCCCACAATTATGTTCAGTCAAATGACTTATTGGTTTATGAACCTCCTGAACAATAGAATCAAAATGGTAGCATCGTGCAGACGCAGTCAAGGGCCTTCCTGAAGGATTCAGACGTTAGTCTCACCAGAGGGTGATGAAGAAAATCCCCAATACACTCACCAGGGCATCTCACATCCACCCTGGCTGGCTTACCCTGACCTCCGACCTCAGCCTCATCCAAGGTAGCTGAAAGGGTGTTGGAGAAAGAAGGTGGAAGACCATTTAATCTGCAGCCTCCTCGTTCCCCCACCACCAAAGAAGAATTCTCTTTCATCATTTGTGACGTCAGCAATTAGGTGAGGGATAATTGGTTTTGTCTGGGTGCTGTGTCTGCTATCACAAGTTATGAGTTCAACTATTTTCCAGAAGAATTTGCTATTCAGAAAAGTTCAACCAAAGCCAATGCATGCTTCATCTTTGCGAGAGCGGGGCTTCTGCAATCCAACAGACCCTTGTGAAGTAGGATTCTGGCGCAGGTCTGTTGATTTTTCAAGAGAAGTGGGAAATCTCTATTTTCATTGGAAACATCCAGAATTTTAAATGCTGGTACTCAGTTTCAAAACATGTTTTAAATCTGTGGCTGCTTGGCCCACTGCTGCCTCTGGGGACTCCGGTTTAGGGCGCATTGCTGCGGTGGAGAATGGGCAAGTGTCCAGGGAGGGGGAAAGGGGCCCTCATCGTCCTGCTTCTCCTGAGCTCTTCTTCCTCAGAGTCACGTGACTGCTCTCCAGTCCACGAATTCCAATAGAGAAAGTGGAGTCATTTCTGAACGACTGGGCTATGTGATTTCCACATAATTGGGGGCTGTAATCCGAGGCCTGGGCCACCCCTGGCTAGTTTATTGACAGTGAGTCGAGGTGACAGCTCTGCTCCCCATGGCTTCTTCCCACAGTGGGGAAGGGCTGCGTCCGGTAGCTGGCTAGCCAGTCACTCTGGCCAGGTCCTTTTCTTCCTCCTTTAATATGCAGCAGAAAGGTAAACAGCCTTGAACTTGCAGCTCTTTCATCTGCCAGGCAGAAGGGAGGGGAGGGGAAGTGCTGAGTGTAGATAAGCACTTAAGACGGCAGAGTGAGCCTGCGTATCTGAGCAAGCACTTGAAGGGTCAAAGCAGCAAGCAAACTCTCCTCAGATGCCAGTTTGACACTTTCACCCTTCTTGTTATGAGCAGAGATCTGAAACTTCTAAGCAGGTGTGTCACTTTATTTTTATTTTTTTTTTCTAGTGAAGGGAGCACAGCCAGTTCATTTGCATGATCTCTAGCAGTTCTTTTCCAAGAGAGCCAGACAGAGATACATGTTTAAATGGTTGTCATGGAAACCAGAGAGCACAGCTCTCCCCCAAGGTCTGAAGGAAGGATGATGAAAAGTTTAAGCAATCACCATGGAAACCTAGCACAGATTCAAGGCAGGTTCAGATCCCCAGCACACTAACTAGCAGATAAGTCTTAGGTGCTGGGGTCCTGGTGGAAGGGGAATTCTGCCTGTCCACTGAGGCGTCTATCATCAGGGCTGACTCAGAGGCCACGTCCACAGTCAGGAGCTCAGAGGATCCCATGGGGTCAGCAGCAGTGTGGGTGTATTCTCCCCAAACTCCGACTTTTACTCTTTCTGTTTCAAGGTGGATCCTGCGGCCTCTCCTGCCCACCCTTCCCTATATCTTATTCCTCCCTTCCATCAATTTCCTCAGTATGGTCGAGCCCACGGATCTGCTGTCACAAAATGGACACAAAACCACAAAATGGTTTCTCTATGGCCTTGACCAATATGTCCCTCTCCATGTTCATTAACAACCAAAATAAAGCCAGAGATTCCTGCCTTCCATCACCTTAAGTAAACAAATGCACTTGAAGGTGCTTCCCACACTGCAGAGCCCTCTATGCAATTGTTGGTTTCTTCTGTTATGGATTTTCCCTCTCATCTGAGGTGAGCCTATTTGGGAATAGATGGCTGACCTTAAGCTGAATTCTGAAGTCCAGAAGTATGTAAAGGGGGAACCTTAAGGGGCTGTGAAAGGACTCTTACCAGAAACGGAGACTAAACTAACTAAAAGGGAGTTGCGGAATGGGGTGAACCAGCTCACTTGTTTCCTGACAGGGTTATAACTCTAGCAGCCATTTAGGGATGGGGGTGCTGGTGCTATAACACATAGTGGAGGAGTGTGTGTGTGTGTGTATAGACACGTACATACCCGACACAAAGCAGTCATGTGGGCATAGGATGCTATGGGGACATGTGGGGGGTGGATATGGAGATGGAAGGAGAAGGGCACAGGAGAAAAACACTTGAAGAGCTCGTCACTACAGCATCCCAGTCTTCCTAGAGTGCTTCTGAGCACAGCTTTGGGAGCGAGAGGGATGTGGTTTGAATGTTGACTTCACAAATAAATTCACTCAACAACTATTTATGGAGCACCTGTTATGTGCCATGTATTCTAAGCACTTGGGACAAAACAGTGGACAAAACAGACAAACTCCCTACCTTTGTGGGGCTGGCCTTTTGATGTGGGAAGACAGACCAGAAGCAACAAACATCACAGACAAACTAGATAGTACTCTAGAAGGTGCTTAGATGGACGGATTTAAACCGAGTTAGGACAGGTAAGGAGGACTGCGAATGCCAGGAGCAGGGGCTGGGCTGCTCCAGGACATAACAAAGTGGACAGAAGGGCCTTGTTGAGAAGTGACATTTGAGCAAAGACTTCAAGGAGGAGAGGGAGTGAGCGATGTAGACATTTGTGGGGAGAACTTTCCAGGCAGAGGGACGAACCAGTGAAGATATCCTCATATATACAAGGAGATTGGCACGACAGGAACAGAGACAGAGAGGGAGAGAAGTGGGAGACCAGCCCAGAGATGTAAGGATGGGGCTGACACACAGGGCCTGGAGGACTTCAACTTTTGCTCTGAGTGAGATAGGGGCCCACGGGAGGACTTGGACAGCTCTGACTTCTAATTCACAGGATCTCTCTGGCTGCTGTGTGGAGAACAGACTATAGGGGCAGAGTGGAAGTAGGGAGAGGAGTTAGGCTCCTGCCGTGACCCAGGGAAGAGAAGATGGTGATTCTCGCTAGATGGAAGCAGTGGGGCTGGGGAGAAGAGGCCAGATTCCAGGAATAGGCAGGGTCAACAGCTTGGACATGGGTTGTGAGAAAGAGGAGTCGAGGGTGACTGTTAGATTTTGGCTAGAGCAACTGGAAAGATGGATTTACAGCCAATTAAGATTGGGAAGATGGTGTGAGGGAGAACTGGATTCAGGTTTGGACTTAATTTTGACAACTATGTGGTATTCAAGTGGAGATGTCCTTTAGAGATCCTAGGCAGTTGGAAATACCGGACTGAAGTTCAGGAAGGGGCCAGGTTAGAGAGATAAATTTGGGAATTGGCAGCAGTGGTCCTGGAGGGGATCATCAAGGGAGTGATGCAGGTATGGATGAGGAGAAGACCGAGGACTGAACTCTGCGGGCTCCAACGTTAAGTCACAGAGATGTGGAGGAATAAATAAGGGAGACAGGGGAGGACAACACGTGAGATGGAAAGAAAACCAAGAGAGGCTGTAGCCTGAAGCCGAGTGAGAGAAGCACGGGGAGGAAGCCGGAGTGATCTGCTGCTTCAAGTGCTGAGAGAGCAAGTGGGATGAGGATCCGTCACTGGATGTAGCAACATCGGGGCACGGACGACCCTTACAAGAGTGTTTTCGGTGGCACGGCAGGGACAAAGGTCAGGTTGGAGTGGTTTTAGGCAGGCTGGGGGGAGAGGCTTTGGAAAGGGTGAGTATAGGCAACTCTTTCCAGGAGTTTTGCCCCGAAGGCTCTGAGCCTCAATACAGTTGTGTGTCGCTTAACAACTGGGATAAGTTCTGGGAAATGTGTCATTAGGCAATTTTGTTGTTGTGTGAACATCATAAAGTGTACTTACACAAACCTAGATGGTACATGTAGGCTGTGTGGTACTAATCTTATGGGACCACCGTCAAATATGCGGTCTGTCATTGACCAAAAAGTCGTTATGTGGCGCATGACTATATTCTCATCTTTGCATCATGCCTGGAACATCATAAATACCCATCACAGAGAAATTACAATAATGTTCACCAGGGAGTGTGGAGGTGGGGGCGGAGGGCTGACTCTTTCTATAATAGAATTATCTAGATCTCTATAGATACTTAATAGTGGTTTAGAGCTGTAAGCAATTTCAGTGGGCCCTGCTGTCTGTAATGGGAGAAGGACGATGGCATGGACAGGACACTTACAGTAGAATGAGGGATCTGTGAATTTGCGTTGGATAGATCCTTAGAGCTCCTGTCCAACTTTTTTACTGGACTGGAGAGGAAACTGAGGCCTGAGGTCACAGCTCCGTTAGCAGCAGAGCCGGAGCTAGAACTCAGAGCTCCTCATTGCGGCTTCATTGTTTTTGTTCCACCCAGACACTGAATTTTGAGCTGGTCCAGTCTCTGAAAGCTGAATTTCAGTTTCTTAGGATTCATATCCATTATCATTTGAGAAAATCACAATTTCCTAGTTCCAAGAAAGTCTAATGAAAATTCCCAAGAAACTTCTTAACCACTGCACATCTCTTTCTAACATTTTGGTGATTTAAATGTCAGTGAATCAGAAATTTCTAAGGGAAGCTTTCCTTGAAAGACAATGTAAGCGTGAAGGCTATGAATCAGAAGTGGAAGGGGCCTCAGGGCAGATCTCCTCAAGAAGGAAGCAAGTATTTCCTGGGAGGCTGAGACCGCACACTTGACTGATCACTGGTTTTCCATGCTGTTCAATGGCAACTGGAACAGGACTCTAAAGGATTAAAAAAGAGGAAAAAACCCTAGAATTTCAGCTTTTCCAAAGCTCAGAAGTGCTCAGGCATAGCTAGGCTGAAGGCATCATAAAAGAAATGGCTGTCGTCATTTCGTGGGTGGCTGACTTCTGAGTCGCTTAAAATGGTGTTAAAGATTGTATTCCTCACAAGTGCACTGCTTGGTGAGTTCAAACCAGGTCCTTAAAATCCAAGGGTGGGGCTAGGGATCGAGTTGGGAGGAGGAGGGAAAGAAGGTGGGGGACAGTTGAGAGGGCCAAGAGAAAAGGTGGAGGTAATCCCAGCAAATGAAATACCTGGAGAAGATCTGGTATAGAAAGAGACTCAAGTTATGACCATCCTCTTGGTGATAAACACACAACTCCTGCCTTCCCCAGCATTCCCCTCCTCCCTGTCCAGTGGCCCTGGTTGGGCAGGAGATATGAATGTCTGTGGACAAGCTCTTCACTGATTCATTTCTCAGGCTGCTGCTGCAGCCCAGGCATGCAGGGAGCACCCCCAGAGATCACAAAGACCATCAAAGGGAGCTTTTACTGGCTACGATTTTCCCACTACCCTAGGGTGAATGATAATATTTGTTTTCTCTGCAGTCAGAGAATTATGCTGCCCTGGGGTCAGAATCTCTATGAAAGTCCCAGGGCCTGAGAGATAGGGCTTAACCAACCCAAGTCTAGGAGATAGCAGGTGGAATACTGGTGTTGGGGTCAGCAAAATAGTACTCAAGTCCCTTTTCTACCTCTTCCAGCTAAGTGACCTGATGGGCATACTTTTCTAAGCTTATGTGTCCTCACCTATAAAATGGGACTAGACGCAATTCATACCTCACCTGGCTACTGTGAGGATCAAATAACAAATATAACGCATGTGAGTGGTTCTCAGCCTTGGCTGTAAATTAAAGTCACTGGAAAGTGTCTAAAAAATATAGATGCCTGGGCCTCACCCCCTTGAACAGTGGCTTCTAATCTTGGGAGTTTTTAAAAGTCTCAGTGCCCAGGCTTTATCCCAGATCGATTAAGTCACAATCTCCAATGGTAAGACCCAGCTAATCAGATTTCATCAAGTCTCCCAGATGATTTCAATGGGCAGCCAAGACTGAGAACCACTGACGAATGTGAGCGTTCTTTATAAATTAGTAAGTGCCAAACACATGTAAGGAATCCTCGTCAGTGTCAGCTTGAAAATGAAATACGACAAGAGTGACGTTGAATAATTGGGTGGGGCTTTCCAACATACTCTCAAGAGCTTCATAAAATAAGTAAGAAGCACAATAACGTAACTGTGAAGAATTAGGAAGAAGGTCTTTGAGGGGCAAGCTATTAGAAAAAAATCATAAAAATTAGTAGAATCATATAGAAAAGATAGGAAAATTATATCATTTTGATTAAAGGTTTATTAAGATTAAACTATATAAATTTTGATTAAAGCTTCTCAGACTTGACATGTACACAAGTCAGCGCAGCTCTTTTTCAATGCAGACTCTGATTCAGTAGTTCTGAGGGGAGCCCGAGTTTTAGTTTAGTGCTTTAGTTTAGTTTACTCATCTGTAAGATGGGGCTAATAGTGGGATCGAATCATAAGGCTGTCATGGAGATTAAATAAAATAATACACAGAAGGAGCTTAGTCTAGTGCCTGACACTATGTAAATGTTCCAGTTAGAACGCTCCAGGGCCAGCCAGAGGTTGCATCTATTTCAGACCAAGAGCTGCTATCCAAGGAGTGGTCCGTTGTAATCAGTCGGATTCCTGGTTCAAATCTGGACCAACCAATCTCTTGAAGTTTACTCAGTGCCAAGATGAATGTCCTCAGTCCTGTCCAGACAAAATGACTCCCACATGAGTAGCATAGACTCGCCCTGCCACACTCCTTATTCCATAGACCCAAGATTAGCCTGGTGAAGTCCATGCCCAGACTAACTGTGCATTGGGCTCTGTAAGAGTGAGGGATGGATTGGGACCTGGGTTCTCCTTTGGCTTGTCTCTGAATTCACTTTGCCAAAGATCAGATTCCAGAAAATCCAATTGTTCTCAGGTTCTGGGTCTTCCCAGCGCCATCACTGAAAGCTGTTATACCCAATATACCTTTTGAATTCTTAAAAATTCCCAAATCCCACTTCTACAAATGCACCAAGACCACTGTCCTATGTCCATATTGCTGTGTATTTATTATCATGTAGCACATTAGGAGTGCTCAAACAGTGTAGCCTGAGATTGCTTGCAGTGGATTTTGTTCGTATTTCAACTCAACAAATATTGATCGAGCTCTCAGTCTGTGCAAAGCCCTGCGATAGGACTGCCCGCCCCCCTCACTACGCCTCTGCAGCAGCCCAGGGTGAGGCTTCCAAAACTAAAGGCAAATTACACAGTGGAGTATGTCACATTTTGAGCTGCACCAGGCATTATTAGCAGAGTGTGGGATGCCTGTTGCAGTGCAGAAATGATAAAGGTGGGAGACATCCAAGGCTCTGACACACAGAATGAGAGCATCACCAACGTGAGAGGAGTGGAAGCGGTACCTATTACTAGAGTACTGGGCTCATGGTTGGAGCTTGAAATGACGGCTTTGATGGAATCGTAGTAGTTCAGCTGGAAATGACACAAAAAGAGAAAATGCTAATTAATATGAAGATCACACACCAGGTCAAGTGAGAATTTAACAATATCTAACGCATTCTTTCAACACATGCTTCAAGAGGGAGAAAGAAACCATTTGCTCAGAGGATAGGCACATTGAACAAAAAACCATATTTGCATTTGGGCAGAGGTGTGTAGGTGGCCCGGCGGAGTTTGGAGTGTGTGGGGGTTCTCTTCCCTTCACACTCGTTCAAGGCTAACACCAGAACCAGCAATTCCTGGTTATTCTGTCTGACAGAATGTGCTGAAGTTTCTGCTACCTATTTTGGATATTTCTGAGAAAATCACAATGTAGTCTGCATAGCCACAGGGCTTTCACGGGGAAAACAGTGTGTCCTTCACTATAAGTCTTATTTCAGTTGAAAGGTATGCTGAATGTCATCCTGGGAAGGGTGAGAGATGCCTTCCCCTGTCTTTGAAAATCAGGAGCCAGACTCTGAAACTGATGTGCTGGGAGTGGGGAATCAGGGCTTTTAGGCAGGACCCTGACCCAGGGCCGGGGCCAGTCTTGGGTGGAGAGGACCATATTTGGTGGGATTTGAGGCGTTCCTCTCCTCTCAGGTCACCTTCTTCCCCAGCAGAAGTCCTTGTTAAGAACATGAGCATGTCACTCGGATAAAGCCATCGTAGCATAGAAAGAGCAACACAGTAGTCACAGAGGACAATTCACTTATCATTTAGAGCCTCCAGGCACTATGCAAGTCTAGGGGGGCAGAATTTGCTGCCCCCAAATGTGTCTCTTTTGCTTGATTATTTTTAAGAATGAAAGCCTTGGGAAGAAACTTTGACCTTTCCCCCAACCACCTAAAAGATAGAAAGCCTGTTCCAGGACGGAGCTATCAGCATAGATGACTATAGCATAATAGAATCTAGATGTGGCAGACAGGGAGGAGCCTAGCAAGGTCCCTTTGATCAAAGTCCTCTCCATGTCCCTTTGTCTCTGCACGGCATGGCAAACATTTGTTTACCAAACATTTGCTTTTCCATCTCCATGTGAATTGTCTTCCTCTCCACTGAAGTCCCAAACCACCACCCTCAACATCTTCTTTTTTTTCAGCTAAAGATGATATTTAAAGTGGTAGCTTTGGCTATTTGGGCAAGTTACTCAGTTTTCCTGGGTTTTGCCCGTGTATACATGTTATTAACCTTTAGCTCCTGTTGATCTGTCTCACGTCAATTCAATTCTTAGACCAGCCAGAAAAACCTAGAAGGGTAGAGGGAAATTTCTTTCTCCTCTACACTAGGTTCAGAGGAGGATGCAGAGAAGATAATCCTTGGTTCTAACCCACAAGGAGTACAGAAACCAAAGACCCAAAGTCACAGGAAGAGGAAAAGTAAGTTTGAAGGGAAGAGAGAGTTTCCAATGGTTGGGTCATGGCCCAGGACAATAGGACTCAGTGGCCAGAGCAACCTACAGAGCTCAGAACTGTCCCCTGCCTTTTCTCTGCTGGAGTAAGCTCCCCCGAGGCTGTGCGTGTGGCTGACCTCTTAGGGAGGAAGGTCATGAACACTGCCCCCGAGAGAGTAGAGAACAGAAGGACACCAGACGCCGGGGAATTCTCCTACAGTCCGATTCCTCTCTGTAGGCTCCATTTCTGCACCACCGATGCCAGCAATGGCTTTGTTTGACCCCTCCACTAGCGGTCACCCCTTGGGCAGCGCTGGCTCTGGATCTCGGTATTGTTCCTTCTACCTCTCAAGGCACACAGGATGGAAGAGGGCAAGTTGGAGAAGGTGGGTTGTACAGGAGAGTGGAGTTTGGGGGCTGGCAATTCAAATGTCCAGCTCTACAAAAAGCACGGCTCCATTTTGCTAAGTGGAAGAAGCCAGGCACAAAAGGCGACATATTGTATGATTCCATTTACAAGAAATGGCCAGAAAAGGTAAATCTATAGAGACAGAAGGTAGATGCGTGGTTGCCTGGGGCCGGAGGTGGGAAGGGGCATTAACTGTCTATGGTTAAGAGGGATCTTGCCGGGGTGATGGGGTTGTTCTTAAACTGGATTATGGTGATAATCACACGACTCAGCAAATTTATCAACAATCATTAATTGTATACTTAAATGGGTGAATTTTATGCTATGTAAGTTGTACCTCAAAAAAGTTGAAACAAGAAAGAACCGTGCTCCAGTCACCTTTGAGAAACACAACATATTCCACAGCAATGTTACACGTGAGAGTTCGGTCAGATCGTTGTTTTCATTTTGTATCTAGCTTTCTTAATTCACATTTCCTTTCTACTGCAGGACTGGTATGTTATTTTCTTCTCTTCATGTTTGAAACTTTGTTGGTCTTAATTTTTTAGATAAATGCTATTTTCTTGGTCCAATTTTCTTCCCCTTTAATTTTCCTTTTCACTTAACAAATAAATTTGGTCGTTTTCCTTTCACCCAATAATATTGCCTACTTTTCTTTTCCTGCATAAGTCTTCTTTATGAAAAATCTTCTCTACCTAGGGTAAGCCTGATGTGTTTAGAAAGAGATAAGAGATGTTGGGACGATAAGAGACATCTCTGCTCCCCCAGCGGAGGATTCTCATCACTCCTGCTCCTCTGGACAGCAAGTCCACTCTGCATTTGGTTTCTGAGCTGTCTTAACATGAAGGACCATGTCTTGCTTTTCTATAACTTGAAAAGTGATTTAGCTTCTCAGAGCCAGAAGAAATCTCAGGGAAGCAACTCTCACCCCCACAGTCACATTATTGGTCCCAGGACACTGGTGTCATGTGAGTTGGCTCTCCCTCCTATTATCTTCAAGTCCAAAGGAGACCTGGGGTGGAGACCCCCAAAACAAGCATGCCAGGAAGTTAAAATTGATGAATTTCACTAGCTTCTGGAAACCAGATAGTTATCCTTCCTTGTGGCATTCTAGGGCTCTCATGTGACGTTTATTTTTATTTGTTTTCAGCTAGGTTAGTAAAATTATCTCAGGACCACTGGTGACTCATTAAAGAATATAAACTGTTATTTATTTGATTGCTTGGGTGAAACCCCTGGAGAGAAAGGGCAGACTGGCAAATTCCAATTTACTTTTACTTAAACATTTATTTTTTCTTTCTTTCTGTCTTTTTTTTTTCACCTGAGTAACCCAATCTCCATGCGCTTTCCAGTGGATGTAGTTTACATTTGGAGAGGTCATGCGTTATTAATGCTGATGTTTGACATGTTCTCGACTTTGGGCAGCTTCTTCCAAGTTCTAAGGAGAAAAAACATAAAAATTTCAAAAGAATAAGAATGAACATCCCTCCCACACCCTGCTCATCTCTAACAGGAGCCTTGTGTCAGGTAGTCCCTCTGATCAGGAATTCCTCACTTCTCTCTTTTGCTCGTATAAATTCTTCCCATTCTCTGAGGCCTTGATAAATCCTCCACCGGAACCTCTTTGAATATGCCAGACCATTTGATTGCTCCCTTTTCTGGACTCCAGGAAAGTTGGGCGTGTAACCGACAAGCCTGATGTGTGCTGATCTTGTTCTCTCATGCAGACGTGTACAACCTGAAGGCAAGGGTGCTTCCTTTAGAGCCCCACCAGCCCTGGTAGAGAGCAAGGACTCCACCAATTCTGACCCGCTGAAGACTCCGACGAGTCCCCTTGTGTGTTCCAGTTGGGGTTTGAGCCTTTTAGAAGAAGGTACTGGGCTTTCAAAGTCAGTCTCACAAAGTGGACCTTGCTCATATGTGTCACGTGTGAAGGCAGACAGGAAGAACTTAGAGGCGGCATCAGTGACCTGACACGTTCCAAAAGCTCTTTAATTATCAATTAATCCATATGAACTCTCTGAGAGACAGACTGTCCTTCCCACAGGCAAAGCAGGAACAAAGCAGCTGGTATAACAGGGGAGTGATTGACTGCGGAGGACCCGTGGTCGTCTACCCACCATTCTCCCCCTTCCTCCCTGCCAATGAAACCGAGGCAGAGATCCCTTGATCTCAGGGGTGTCATGTGACCCAGTTCTGGCCAATGAGATCAAGTGAAATCAGCAGAGGAGCTCTGGGAAAATATTTTGCTCTTTCATAAAATGTGAAAATAGTATGAGAGAGTCTCCTTTTTTCTCTCTCTCATTTTTCTTTCTCATTTTTCCTCTCCCTTGGATGGTGTTTTTCCTTCTAATTTTAAACACTGTTGAGATGTGAAATATCTGGAGCTATCGCAGCCATTGGGAGACCATGAGGCCATAGGCTGAAGGACAAAAAGCCAACATACTAAAGATGGTGAGGTGACATGATGGAGACTGAAACCTCTGGGTGACACCATTGATAAGCTAAACTGATGTAGCAGCTATTACCGTCCAAGGGGGGTCATCTGCCCGCCGCAAGACATGCCAATAGTCGGGAGGCAAGGTGGTAGGAGAGAAAGGGTTTCTTTATTACAGATTGCTAGCAAGAGGGAGGATGGTCTACCATTGTCCAAAAGAATCATCTTTTTTTTTAAAGATCGGCACCTGAGCTAACATCTGTTGCCAATCTTTTTTTTTTTCTTCTTCTTCTCCCCAAAGCCCCCCAGTACATAGTTGTATATTCTAGTTGTAGGTCCTTCTGGTTGTGCTGTGTGGGACGCCACCTCAGCATGGCTGATGAGCAATACCATGAACACACCCAGGATCTGAACTGGCGAAACCCTGGGCCACTGAAGCGGAGTGTGTAAACTTAACTCCTCGGCCACTGGGCCAGCGCCCAAAAGAACCATCTCACAGAACAAAGACTACAGGCTAGTTATATAGGGGACTGGTCTCCGGGTGGAGGAGGCAGCTGATCTCTAGGTGGGGGCAACATCTGGTCCCAGTTCCTGATAGTCTTTTGTTTTACTGGATATGCATCAGAGAATGGAACAAAGCCCTATACCCCGATCTTTCAGTTGTCATTGATGATGGTTATCAGCATAGACTCTCTGCCTAGGGGTCATCATGTTCCTCAGGAACTGAAAAGAACAAAGTTATCAACTTGTAGCAGCTGGAGGGGCCATGAAATCTACAGAGCATGTCTGGGTTTGTTCGTCAGAGGTCGTTCAAAGACACAATACGGTTTCTTTTTACAATATGGCTTCCCTTATGTCAACCTTGTGTTGAGCCAGTATCACAACCACCTATATCCTGACATTTTTGTTAAAGAAGGAAAGATAAACTCCTATCCTGTTAGTCATTTTTTCTATTACTTAATAATAGCAAACATTTATTAACTTCTTACTATGTGTCAAGCACTGTTCTAAGCACTTTTCACTCCTCAACATAACCTTGTGAGATGGGCAATATTATTCTTCTCTTTTTAAGAATAAGAAAGCTGAGGCACAGAAAGATTAAATGACTTGCCAAAGTTAGCAAGTAACAGAGAGAGAATTCAAACCCAGGAAACCAGGATTGCAGCTTGAAGCATTCTTAATGGATAAATTAATGAGTTGTACACAACAGTCTACAACTGATGTTCTCATAGTTCAACCCATCACAGAATTGTGGGACTGTTTTAGAGGGATCCTTTGAGATGACCTTGAAAATATTAGAGTTGATGTAACTTGGAATGGTGATCTATGTATCACTGAAGCCTGTAGGCAGGATGTTTTCATATATACTGCCAGAAATCATAGAAGTATATTGGCTTTCCCAAAGCAGTCCAGTATAGGATTTTTCCCCTAGTAATAATTTTTTCATTTTATCAGTTATATCATAATAAAGGTCTCTTACTCTGCACTTTTTAATTGCTAGCATGGCAGTATATTTTTTCATTTAAATTGTTCATTACTTTTGGCTACTTTTCAAGTAATAAAGTGTATGTTTCAATCCACTCAAAAGTTATTTCTTGAGAATATTCTGTGAATACTGGTCCTATCTAACCCATGGAAGACACTCTAACTGACATTCACTCAGCATGCTTTCTGGGTTGGTTATGACCCTTGCTGGTGTAGGGGACTGGAATTGGCCACCCCACAATAGGTCTCTTTGGCATGAGGATTATTTTGGACTGGTTACTTTTAAAAAACTGCAGACAGCAAAGAAACTCTGAAAAGTAGAATTTACTTACCCTTTGTAAGAGACATTTACATTTGTAAAGGAAATCTCCATCTGTAAATGTGTCTTGACCTCATCTCTAGAAACTCTTAATCAATGCAGAAGGCAAGGACTTAAATCTGCATAATAATCTTACTCTTGTTTACTGCACTTGTCTGGTAACCTCCCCCAACATCCTCCTTTGCCTTTAGCTGAAGATGACATTTAAGGTGGTGGCTTCAGCCATGTTGGCAAGTTGCTCAGTTTGCCTGAGCCTCTCCCATGTGTACATGTTATAAAGCTTTTTTTAATTTTCTCCTGTTATTCTGTCTCTTGTGAATTTAATTCATTGTCCGGCCAGAAGAACCCAGAGTGGGTAGAGGAAATGTCTTCCCTACATGGCCATCAAGGCAACTGGGACCTCAAATCCCCCGCCCCTGCCCAGGACCACCTGAAAGGTGGTGTGGAGGCTCTATGTATGTATGTTTTCTCTCTCATTTTATAAAGAAAATCCTTCACTGGTTTCCTGAGAGGATATGTATATGAGACGAGCATTTTTGAAACCTCATATGTTTGAAAATGACTTTACCCCCCAAATTTCAAAAATCATTTACCTGGGTACAGAATTCAACATTGGAGATAAATTCCCTTCAGATGTGTGAAGGGATTGCTCCATTGCCTTCTAGCTTCTACTGCTACTGTGGTGAAGTCCACATCCATTATGATTTCTGATCCTATGCACGGTGACTTGATTTTTCCTCCCTCTGGATACTTCTGGAATCTCTTTACTTTCAATATTTTAGGAAAAGTTCTCAAACTATTTATTTGATTATTTTCCTTCCTTTCTTTTCTCTTTTTCATATGTCTAGTATTTGGATATTGTACCTCCCAGATGGGTCCTATGGTTTTCTTATCTTTTCTCTTTTATTTCATACTTTTTGTCTTTTTGTTTGACTTTCTGGGAGAATATCTTCCAACCATTCTATTGAGTGAAAACATTTTTATCACAATTTTAATTTCCAAGAATTCTTTTTATTCTCCAAATTTTCCTCTGTAATGGCATCTTCTTACTTAATGGATTTCATCTTGTCTCTCCAAAGATAATAGCAGCATTTTATTGTTATTTCTTGCCTAGAATGGGAAAGTATGGCTGTTGTCCATCTAGGAGGTGCTGCCAATTCATGGGCCTGGGGCGGGGGGCAGGCTGGGGGTCTACTTTGTAAAATGAATTGGCTCTCAGCTTTTCCTACAGCTGACCTAAGCATTTAGAGTTTTTGGATTTCCTAAGTCACTTATCATTTGTTTATCTGCTTTTCAACTTCCAAATTTTACTGCTGCCATTTCCTGTCATTCACCCCATCCTTGTGGGGTTGTGTCTTCAGGGAAAAACACTCCCTTTCCTGTTGTATAGATGAGTTTTATTTAGGAGGGAGTAAAAATAGATGCATGTGTTCAACCTACTCTGTTTCCTGGAAATACGGAAAGCTTATTTCCAGTCACATTAGGGGCTTCTTTCTGATATTTGAAAATAATCCACATGTTTAGGGGCTGCCTTGTAAGACAGGGACTCTCTTTTCCTGGAGAAGTTTAGCCAATTTGGAATGTCTACTTCTCAGGGATGTGGTAAAGAGGTTTCAAGTTCTACTGGGTTGGTCATAAGTTAGACAAGATGAGTACCCAGGACCTGCCCACTCAGAATTCTCTGAATCTATCATTTAAACCTCTGACTATATTATGCTTGTTCCAGGCTTCAAGTAATGTTCAAATCGTATCCCTGAGAAAATGTGCTTTTGTTTTTGTTTCATTTCCCATGTAGCCTACTACATACTTTTGGGGAGGAATGGCCTTGGTGGAGAAGTGACACTTTTGGGGAGAGTTTGCTTCTTCTTGTCCTGTCATCAAAAGATTACAGGTGATGAGAAGTCCGTCTCTAGTCATTGTCAAGGAGCTGCTTCCTATGCCTCTCTGAAACAACAGGAGGTGGGGGAGAAATCCCCTTCTAGTCTAACACACATGGTCAACATGTTCCACAAGGTAAGAAAAGGAGACCCTGAAACCCAAACTGAACAACAACAATGTTAGTATTGCCTAAATAGCTAAGATAAATACAGCCAGTGGTTAACATAGGTTAGCATAAGGGGAGCCATCTTATCTTATAGAGAAGAACCGTGTTGGAACTATAAATGACCCTGACCCACAAGACACCCCCTTTCCTTGTTAGCAATGCTTTAGTTTACATGTAGTCTAGATAAGTACGCACCTGCTTCTTGTGAGAAATATGCAGGCTCTGATATTTTCATAGCCTTAGCTTATATGTAGACCTCCCTATTGCAATAAGGTGATAATTTTGTTCTTTAAGTTTTCCCAGGGTTGTAATGACCTCTGGAAAAGAGTCCTGCACTGGTATTCATCACCAGTGACAAGAGAAATGGATGATTTAGCATCTCAGGGACTACAAGACCAGATCTTCAACATTCTGAGATCCCTCCCCCCTTTTTCAGCCTGTTTGCCGTATAGAAGTGCTTCAAAATTTGTAGTTTTAAGATGGTTCTTTAGGACACTAGTCTGCCATCTTCCCCCTTGCTAGCAAGTTGTAATAAAAAGACCCTTTATCTCCTACCACCTTGCCTCTTGACTGTTGGCTTGTCTTTGTGGCAAGTAGAAGACCCCTTTTAGTGGTAACAAGAAGACTAAAAAAAGGATGAACTAGGAGATCTTTATGCAGTGAGAAAAGACTCCTCAAGTTCTGAAAGGATACTCCTCAGTATTTTACCACACAGAAATTAACCATTTTCAGCTGAATGATGTATCTGACAGAGACTGGTAGGGAATGATGAATATTAAGTAACTTAAAGTTATGGCAGGAGCTATTGCTAATTGTATAGTATGTCAAGAAAATAAAGCACATCTGAAATTACATTTGGTCAATGGGAAAATAAGGTAGCATTTGCCAAAATTCCTCTTATACTCAACTTTCTAGTGTTGGGGCTCAGGGCAGGCTGCTCCCAAATATCCCACAATGGCATATTGATTATTTTGAATTAAAGTTACTTGTTTGACTTAAAGTTTTGACCCTCTTCTCTCTATTCCCTCTGAAAGCAGGAAATAAATTTCCCACATGAAAGGTACCCTCTCTATACCAGGAGATAGAGACATCCTTATCACAAGGGCTGGGGAATTCAGGGCCAAGAAGCCTGTATAAGCAAACCTTGTTACTCTTACTAATTTACTACCTCAAGCATAAACTCTACTCAGATTCATCACTAATTACATACTCCAAACCTAAGTTTCTTTGTCCTACCAAATCCTCACAAATTTATGGTTTCTTTGAGTACAAAGATATGCAAACTGCATTCTTTGTTCACTTTCTGAGCATCATTTTATGATCTCCTGTACATAAATATTAAATTTTTTTTTCCCTCTTGTTGATTTGGTCTTTTGTCAATTTTATTATTAGTCAAGCCATAAGAAAGGTAGAGGGGGTCATTCCTGCCTTCCCAATAGGTTTGGTGAGCCAGCCAGGAGAACTCACCAGCTGGAAAACTGTTTCCTCCCCGGGACTACTGCAGATGAAGATCCTGGGACGTCTGAAAGAAGGTGGCAAAAAAGTATTTCTTACATGTCAGCCTCCCAGATCTCTGTCTGCAAAATCCACTGGGAACAAATATGGTGGAAATCTTTTTTTCCTTTCTTTCTAAATTTAGATTAGCAGGCAAAAGTATTTGCAAAATTAGTTTCATGGGAAAAAACAACTCTTGTAAAGATTTGAAAAGAATATTATTGTTTTCTGTTAGTCCCATTTCTCCCAGAGATGGTCATTGCTTTTTTTTTGTTTCTTCCAGCCAGAATATGCATATGCAACTGGCAGGCAGCTGAGTGGACTGCAGATCGAAGCTTAGGGAATCTAAAAAATATTGGGTGAATTTTTGCTTGGTAAGTCATGCTATTCTACTCAAAAGTGGGGGAAACACATGCTTCCCTATGTTTGGAATGGCTATTTAAAAACATGGACTTCATAGTTACTACCTTTATTTTCTTAGGCTAATTCTGGGAACGAACTTTTTGGATCTTGTGAGGGCTGCATCCTTTGCACCTTCCTTTGGGGATGTCTCTTGCATCCATGGTTAAGTCCATATTTCACAGAAAAATAGAAATTAGAACATAAATTAAAGTCCACTCAGACCTCTTCCTAGTTGCCTTCAGACATTTGCAGATATTATAAAAATCAAGATATTGGAAGTACAATTGTTCTGCACTTAAGCAAATAGCAATTACCCCAAAACTCCTAAAAAAAAATTCTATTTTCTTCTCTGTCCTTTGAAATTGTACATTTTGCCATTTCTTTGGAATGTAAACACTCCAGGAGATAACAGTCAAAAATCACCTGAGACTGAGCCTGGCTAGCTCAGTAAGTAAAGCCTGAGGTTAAGGGAAAAATGGCCCTTTTTAAAGCGCAAGCTGCTAGAAAGGCTTTCTTGCCCAAAATCTAATTCACAGCATCCTTAAGAATTACCTGTCTGGGGCAAATACAAATCTTAAAAATCTTCTCCATAGATAATGTTTTTAAAAGGTTTTAAGCAGGTAACTTTAACTTGTTTCATCTGCTAGACAGACAATGATTTATAAACTAGTGAGTTTTATATTGTACCAGATTCGTGGTTGAAATTTTAAAATAAAAGTTATAAGATCTCTGTTTGTGTCTGTCTCTATATGTACATTATAGACATGGTATTTTTCTAGTTCCAGATGATACTGGCAAATTTAGTTTCTAAAAGACCTCTATTTGATTGGCTTAAAGTAAATGCTTATATAAATTATTTCTCAATGTCATAGAAACTAACCCAAATGTTTTTCAAGTTAACATGATATAAAATAATCTTTGACAAAAAAAGCTTGTATAAATGTGTTGGCTTAATCAAAATGGGCACCTCTTCAGAGTTATCAGCATTGTATATAATGCAGACACTCAATTTTTATTCTACCTGGATTATTAATCAAACAAGCTCTTGCTATCTCTGTTAACAAAATTTATCAGCAAGAAAAAAATAACTTAAGATGACAGCTAACTGCTTTAATGTCTCATGAAATTTTTATGAATAATGTAAGTATGATTATTAAGAAGAAGTGAATTATATGGATGTAAATAAAATAAAAAATTTCAGGTGTAATAATTATGTTTTATGCTATGTATACGTAAAAACATAGCTTCCCCAAATCTTTTCAATAACTTCAAACTTTAGAGTCTTGTTAAGTTAAATTAAATGATGGGAAATTCATTGAATATTTAGATCATTTCCAGGTAAGATAAAATGGTAAAATGCTAATTACTGAACAGAAGTTTACCTACTTTTGGCTTTCTATTGAAGAGAAACTAAAGACAAATTTGAGTCTGTTCATAAACATGTTCTGTGCCACACTGGAAGATTACAATATGAAGAAACATATGTTTCAAGGAATTGTAAAATGTGTACATAAATTTGCCAGTCTAAAGAATATGGTTATACAGTTCACAATTGCTTACTACTTAGTTTTTACTAGAAATTAAGGTTTCTAAGGGTTAAGAATTCTAATTAATATATATAATTAAAGCTATGAAAAATAATAAGGAAAATATCTCTGTACACAAGAAAAATAAGGTGCATGTTTTTTGTAAGAAAATGTATAAGGGATGGAGATGCATTTTTGTTGAGAGATAGAAAAATAATTTTGTCCCAAAATAAAGCTGGTTATTTATGAATGAAAAAGAGAACAGGGGACAAACTGATATGGATGTAGAAAGTTATAGAAGGTTTACCAAAAAAAATCTTTAGAAAGAGATTTTATGCATGGTTAGGGCCAGCTAAGGCTGGAATGCACTTGATTAAGTGAATAAGTTTTAAAAATAAAAGTAAGCTGCTACACAATTAATATTTGTTTTTTCTCTCTGTTAAAAGGACAAATTAAATAAAAAGTGGGGAAGAAAGAAAAAAGAAAGAAAATCTTACCTTGTGTGGTCAAGTTCACTAAAATTACATTGTTAAGAGTTTTAAAAATAATCTTTACTATCAATATTGTACTTATGTAAAACTGGAACTTAATTTTCTTTTCATCTCTTAAAAGAACAAAGTTTTCTTGGAATATTGGTCTGTTCCTGATCAGAGATTATGAAGAATGAGCAAAGATTTTGTTTTATCAAAATAATTTTCTAGGCTTTATTAGATCTTTGATTACTTAAGAAAGCGGAATCTTCTCAATAGTAACAGCTAAGTTTTGCTAACAGCTCTGTAACCTTCTGTATTTGCCTTTAAAATCTTTTATTATCACTTTGGTTGAATAGATAACTAAGTATTGTTTCACAGTGACCTATCCTATTTGATCCTATTTGACCAGTGTTTCAAAATCTTTTTGATATTTTCAACAAACTTCTCAAAATGAAATTCTAAATGAAATCTTTTGAACTTCATTAAGTTTGAAGTTTTTTAGAGGGCCCCTGGAACATTTCAAAGGATGTGTTCTTTCTCCTTATAAAAATGGAGATATTAAACTAATTAGGCCTATTTGACATGGTAAATTATATGGGAACCATTGTCAAACAAAAAGTAACATTAAGCCTTACGTTATATTTGCATAGGTTTTCTAGAAATTATATGAAATTCTTAAAAATCTGATTATATCTTAGTATAATGTTATCAGTCATAATTCTAGCTATTATCTTAAAATGTTGCATGTCACAGATATAACCAAATTTCTTTGTCAGTTGCATTATAATGAACCATTTTTAGTCTTTTGTCATTTATAGTTACTCTGATACTTTTGCAAAATGCTTCATAAAAAGAAAACTCATAAAACTGAACTGAGTCTCTGTCATCAAAACTGAAGCTCACACTAAAAGAACTGAATCTGAACATCAGGAAAACATCCTAGCTTACTTTCATGCAAAGGCAGCAACAACAAAATCTATAAAGATTGTGGCACATGTTGATGAAGTCTATTCTCCTTCTGCAAAAAAATGACCCCTCATAGCCAAGATTTTGCCATCCTGATGTCCTTGTAACATGGCAACAGTCTGCTCCTCAATCATAGAAATTAAGATTGGTAAACAATGGCTGTAAATTAAGCAAAGTTTAAGTTGGGGATATAGGAAACCCAAAATGGCTGCTTGGCTCTTCCTGGTTTTTGCATTTCCTTATCCACTATAGGAAAAATTATTTTTGTCTCCAGAGGCCTCATAACTCCTGCCTCTAGGTCTTTTGAGCACCTGTAGCTGGACTTCATTCAACTACCACTTAGTATGCGTTATCAATATGTTCTTGTCATTGTATGTATGTTTTCCAGATGTGTTGAAGTCTTCCCTTGCCACAAAGCTGATGCTCTCACTAGTGGCAAAGAAACTGTTAAAAAATATGTCTCCAAGTTGGGGTATACTTTCTATAAACTCTGGTGATCAACGTACCCACTTCACTGGGCAAATCATATGAAACTTAAAGAAAACCTTGCAAACTTCTTGGAATTATTATTGTCCCTATCACCCTTAATCATCAGGCAAGGTCAAGAGAACTAGTGAAAAAAAAAACTAGATTCAAGCAGAACAAGAATTAATTACATGAGACTAAAGAACTTATGAGAATGATTATAATTTTTACAACCCTTTTTGTCTGAAATATTTTGTCTGAAATATTATTTTTGAAGTCTTTTGTTCTTCCAGATTTAAGGAAATATTTTTTTTTCTTTTCTCTTAAGCTATCTATGACTTAGAGCAATTGCTGAATTATACCTTTGTAAGTGGAATTGAAACAATAACTTTTTCTCCCTTCCTGATCTCTCCAGAATTCTGAAACTCTGTCAGTATTCTTATTTTCATGACAATATATTTATTTGCATAAGTTTAATAAGACTTATGTTCTCCTTGTAACAGGACACTATTGGAAATTTTGGTCATAGTACTAAGACTCTGACTGGAATGCTATGTTTGAGAGAGACATATGTAAACTCTGATATGATCAAATAGCTTTAAGGAACAACGTTTGACTCTATGAAGCCAATAAAGCCCCTTGGAAAAATAGCCTGGTACCTTACTCACAGGGTTCCCAACAGCCTAACCTGGTGAGTAAAGAAGTTCACTTTCTGGAAGATGCGGAAATCTCAAGATGTGTTGGGAACTTCAAGAAGAGAGCAATTCACCCAAATCTATAGGTATTGCAGGTAGACCCTGATGGCAAGTATTTGGCTTGGTCTCTTAGCCTTGAGAGGCTATTAAAAGCTCAATCTGGAGATTCATTATGAAAAGTTCCAGCAGAGCAAATTTAAAAGGCCTATATGATCAATTGCTATTATTGCTGTACTTATATAAATAACTAAGCCAAGTTTATTGAAATTAGACTTATTTTGCAAACAAATTAGTCTTAATTTGACTATCTTTAGTAAAAATTGAGGGTAATTTTAGAGAGAAAGATTATGTTTCAGTAAACTAGAATACACACTTGTGGATATTAGATTCTAGTGCTGTTAATTTTCCTCAAAGTTTTGTTACTTACCTAAATACTGGACTGGATCCTAAATTCTTCTAGTATCCTCCAATATTTGGCTACAAATATCCAAACTAACATTT